CGGGGGTCAGGGTCGGCGGCTGCGACTTGGGGAGGGCCTGGACACGGATAAACATCATCAAATCATCTTCAGATCGTCCACTGCTGAAAGTGTGGTCCATGCTTCGGCACTGCTGGGCCGGCTCGACCGGAGTGATACCACCAACGAGCAGAAAACCAGTTTTTTTTTAACGTTGCCCCCACATTAGGATTTTCTCCTGTGTCGTGGGTGCGTTTACAAACATACAAGTTCACATACACATCACACCCAGACCCGAAACAACAATTTGTTGATCACACAAAGTGTTGTCCCGTGCGGGAATCGAACCCGCGTCACGTTGCACGGCAGCCGGTTGCCCAGCCACCACGATGTGTGTCCCTGCCGTCACATCGGGCTCACCATACGTAGCCCGCCACCGACCGGCGGTCATTCACTCACTCGCTCGCCCGACACGACGCCGTGCGCACATATCGGTTGACCCTTACAATCAGTACCTATTTAAATACAGTCTTCTCTCAACATACCGAAGTCTTTTATTATTCAAGACCACCAGCAACACACCTGGAGCTTGATATTCAAACAATGTGTTTCGTCGTATGACTAACTAACTCCCCCCCCCCCCCTCCCGGCCCCCGTTTTCCAATCTCCCCAATCCCTGAATCCCCAACAATCCTTAAATTCCTAATCTCCAAAAAAACCGATTGCTTACCATCAGTGTGCCAAGCACGAATAACTATCGCATTCGTAACGTAATAGTATCGAGCGCGTTCGGCGCTCTGATTGGCCGACTCAAGTGAACCAACCAATCAGAACGCTTAACTCGCTCGATACTGTTACGATACGAATGCGATAGTTATTCGTGCTTGGCCCTCTGGTGATATGTCTGCTCGTTTACCAGCTTAGCTTTTCTTTGTTAAATATTTGTTTACCAGCTTATCCCATAAAAAAAATAGTTACCGGTGGTTTGGGCGCGACGGGCGGTGGTTTAGTAGTAGGCTTCGGTTGTGGCGGGGTCTCAGTGGCGGCCGGCGGGGTTTGGACCCCGGTCGGCTTGATGGCGGCCGGCTCTTGGTCCCCCTGCAAGCAATAGATGATGGTTTATATAAAATACAGAGTATTTTCCTCAGTCCCGAGTAAGTTATTTTTTAATGTTTGATACAATAAAAAATCATTTAATTTTACAAATTTTCTTGCATATTACTAAGAAATAAGACTTGTCAATTGGCGCAAAAAATATGATGACGTCATAATAATATGTTGCGATCTCAGTGTAAAATCCATAGAAACGTATCATCATTTTTGACGTTTAGACAATGAAATTATATTTATTTATACAGTAGGATTGTCTCCTGTGTCGTGTGTCCGTTTACAAACATACAAGTTCACATACACATGACACCACGACCTAAACAATTTGTGGATCACACAATGTGTTGTTCTGTGCGGGAATCGAACCAGCGACACGTTGCACAGCAGCCGGTTGCAGGCACCGTACCAACCGTGCAATCAAAACAGTTAACTCAAAACTTTTACACGTCAATCTTTAAATCACTAGACGGGAGCCGGCATTTCCTAACTGACTACTCTGAGAAGAAACTTTTTTTTTATTTATTCTCCTTAAACTGTCAAACACCAAGCGGTCACCGGTGACCGCAACCTACTGTTCTTTAATTGTGTCTATAAATACGGTACTCGACGAGTTAATATTATTATCTTAGGGTGTTTTTGTCCACATGTGTACGTCAACCCCATCGTACCTTATCTAATTAAATATACTGTGTAAATGAAAGGGAATCATTAACAAGGTATGACATCATCATCATCATCATCATCAACAGCCTATAAATGCCCACTGCTGAGCAAAGCCTCTTCTCACACGGAGAAGGTTTGATTATTAATCGCCACGCTTGCTCAATGCGGGTTGGCGATTACAAACTTGTAATTAAAAATTATAAGTCCAGGTTTCCTCACGATGTTTTTCCTTCACCGTTTGTCAGTGGTGTCTTTTTTTTTAAGGGGGGAAAATCATCGAATGACTGCCCCGCCTGGGTGAGGCGGAAGGGAGTGTCAGACTCTTACTGACTAAAAACCACCCCGTTCCTTCTCCTGCACGTCGAGCCGGAGCCCCGGTTACCCGTTAGGTTCTAGTGGTGTCTAGATAATCTTAGAAAGTACATATAACTCGGAAAAAGTCACATTGGTACTTGCCGTTGGTAGGTTTCGAACCCGCACCCTTACAGAAGTGGGCATCTTAAACCTCCGGGCCACCACGACAAGGTATGACATAAATAAAAGAAAAGTTACGTCACTCTTACCAGTTCACACAATCCCTTTGCAATCTTCGTTTTAGGATTTGCTAAAATGTTTTGAACTAACCCAACATCTAATTTATTCAACTTATATTATCTGATTAACGATTCCCTTTCTACTCTGTGAAGTAACGCCGAAACAAACTCAGAGGTCATTGTCTCTTTAAAAGTCCAGACAGATTATACACCGTTAAATTTGAATCGTTTTAATCCCTTGGAGGTTCGAACTAGTCCATGAAACACTATCGATTTGTAAAGATAAAATTAAAAAATAAAGTACTTTTTTTTAATAACTCGAATCAATTCTCGCATGAGTGAATAAATAATGCGAACCGTTAGTACAGTTATGTCAGTCCTAAGCCCGTAAAAGTATGAAGGAAAATTTGGAATCAATTTATTTGTTTACCAACGCAAACATCAGTTGATCGAGTCAATAACCTTATACTTGATCGGGCCGTGTCGACCGACGACGACGTAGGTAACTATCTCGTGGCGCAACTTTAGATTTCATACATTTTGCGAGTATAATCTTATCATTTGCTAATTTATTTATTTTTTATGTTACACCGCAGTACAAGCTTGTAATGAGTAGTATTCTGTTAGTTAAACCACAGGTCCGTGGGATTAAAACGACTAAAATTTAACGGTGTATAATATGCGAGAACCGTGCAAGTCGATTCTGTAGTGGTCTTTTGAGGAAATATCCACATATTTGACCTCATCTTTCGCTTGATAAAATTGACGTGTAAAAGTGCTGCCTTGTAGTCTATTGGCAGAAATAAATGGGGATAAATATAATGACCACCATAAAATGCTTTGACACCCTTAGTTTTGTAACCAAAAATATCTACTTAACACCAGAAAAATTGTATTCAACCACCAAATTTAGTAAATGATCACCAAATCTTGATAGGTTAGGTTAGGTTTTTTTTTGGAAGGGGGGAAAATCATCGAATGACTGCTCCCGCCTGGGTGAGGTTAGGTTAGGTTAGGTTTTTTTTTTACCCGTTAGGTTCTCCGCGACAGGTTAGGTTAGGTTAGGTTTTAAAATGTTGGTTTAATTTTGGTGATCATTTACTATTTTGGGGTTACTCATGATTTACTTGGAGTCATTTTACTTAAATAGGATAGCAAAGTGTTAAAACTTCGGTTATAATTTTACGTTAAAATGTGAGTTTCATTTTGGTGATCATTTACTATTTTTGTTTGCTATTTGTTACTATATCTGGTGGTAAGTTAAACAAGCCGAAATAAATCCACTTGTTTCATTATTTGTTAACTTACATTAGCATTAGCAGTCTTGCACTGTTGTTTCTTCTTGTTGAGTATAGATCGCAGCCGTTCCCGAGTCTCATTGAAATTTCTAGGCACAGGCGTCGTTAGAGGCGGCTGTAACAACAGACTAAATTAGTCCACACATAACATCACGCCTTTTATCCCCGAATGAGTAGGCAGAGGTGCACATTACGGCACTTATTGTCACTGTACAATGTAACACCCACTTTTATTACTTATGTTACGAGTCCCATGTAATAGGGGGTGAGCCTATTGCCATATACCGGACACAATCCAGACTCCGTGCAACTACTGAGAATTTTTTTTAAAACCCACTAATACTTTGCCCGACCCAGGAATCGAACCCGAGACCCCTTGCCCGGCAGTCGCACTTGCGACTACTCGGGCAACGAGGTAGTCCAGTATATACATAGATAGATTTATTTTTTTTAAGGGAGGAAAATCATCGAATGACTGCTCCCGCCTGGGTGAGGCGGGAGGGAGTGTCAGACTCTTACTGACTAAAAACCACCCCGTTCCTTCTCCTGCACGTCGAGCCGGAGCCCCGGTTACCCGTTAGGTTCCCCGCGACATACATAGATAGATAGGTTATATAATAACGTAGCAATACTCACGGCGTGTCCGAAGACGGTGCAGTAGCAGCAGGTGCAGGGCTGGTCCGAGCCCTCGCCGGCGCACGACACGCCGCCGTGCCCCACTGCACACGGACGGACAGACAGACATTACAATACGGTACATGACTCATTTTTATTTTAAACTGTCAAACACCGCGAGGACACCGGTGACCGCAATCTATAGTTCTTTAATTGTGTCTATAATGACGGTACTCAAAGGGTTAATGTCCGTCTGGTACATTTATTTAAAAACATTACACACGTATTTTTTTTTTCTTACGGAAACGAATAGTTTCGAAGATATATTGATTTGAAATGTCGCATGACGTCACTTTTGAGTACGATTTATACTCTAAACGTCCAGTTTCTATAACCTATATATCTGTAGATTTGCTTACTAGAGATAGAATTTTAACACATTTTGTATGGAGGCCATGTAAAATGACGTAGCTACCTACTTCCAACTCCTAAACTTTGATTCGTTTTATCTAAGCATTGTTTTCTTATGCGACAAAATAAAAAAATACGTGTCTAATATTTTTTCATTATCTAACTGACGGACTAATTACATTTATAATATTCATTCCCTGGCAACTACCTTATAACATCTAAAAAAGAACATCTTCAAATAACATAAAAAAAAATTGTATCTCGATATACTTCTTATCTTATACTATTATATAAAGCGGAAGAATTTGTTTTTTTGTTTATTTGTTTGAACGCGCTAATCTTCGTAACTACAAGTCTGATTTGAATAATTCTTTTTGTGTTGGATAGCGCATTTATCGAGGATAGCCATAGGCTAAACATCATTCTCCGACCAATAGGAGCTAAGCAGAGCGTGTGAAAACGCGCGGAAGTAGCTAGTGTTTGAATAAAATAATGAAATTAACTCACCTTTACAAACATGCTGTTGATGGTTCACATTCTCGCACGCTTTCGCTATAGGCTTGGGTTTCACGACGGGCTTCTTGACTTCTTTCTTTTTCTCTACTTTTTTATCGTCGTAGCAATTTTTCACCATATCCCCTATACACGCAGAGTCATTATCTTTACATGAATTACACATACAATCGTTCGTCCATTTACAATCACTTTTTGGGGTATCACAAGCATCGCTCTCAGATTTACTCTGTCCATTTCTGTTGATATTCTTAAAAGCGACTGCATTCAATGTTTGTTTAGCATTACGAAGTGCTTGAGCGGAATATTTCGCTAAATTCTCATGATTTTGCGGCGATAGAGGCGGTTTTTCCTTGCCATCTTCTGTCGCTTCCGATTTTATTTCTTCTACATCTTCATCTAAAAGTTTCGCGTCTATTGACGAACATATATTTATGACGTGCTTCTTATACGTTTCAGGTACTGGCAGACCTTGTGTTATATATGATTTGATTGTGTAAAAGCTGTCTAGAAGTGATTTTTCTCCTTTAGAAGTAAGTATAGCTTCACACTTAGCTAATAGAGCGTCATTCTTACATTTCTTCTCTTCTGTTTCATTAACCTTCGGTGGTTCTTCTTTCTTCTTAGGTGGTTGTTCGGTTTTTTTAACGACGCGTATGCTAGCTTTACCTATAATCTTGCTAAGACCTTTGGCTGCTAAAATTTCCGCCTCACTGGCGTTCTGAGTCGTCTTAACCGGTTGAGGGGTCGCCTTATTAATGTTCTCTTTTAGTTTTTCTTCATACTGCTCTAACTTATAAAGAATGACTAGCCACTCGTCTCCCGACAGATTCTTCTTGGGTAACGTCTCCAAATACTGCTTGTTAACATCGCGAAGTCTCTCTATAAAGTAATCCCGTTTCTTATCATTCGACATTGTGGTAAAATCTGGCACATTATCAGGTTTCTTCAATTGGAAATCCATTAATTCTTGTATCACATTGATGGCTGTTTCTGGATCTGTCAGAATCCAATTAGCTAGCGATTGAGATTCACAACAGCGGTGCAAAACACTCATATACTTAAAGTTTAAACCTTTCACTAATTCTTTCTTCTCGTGGGTTAATTTTGGAAATTTCATCATTAGAATGTCTATAGTATTTCCTACGGAGGTCGTTAGAAGGATTTGTCTGACCGTCTCTCGAGAATCGGAGTCGGAGTCTCTGTGCGTTTCATGATGTTTCCTTAACTCTTCAAATTTCGCCGCCATCCTATCGAAGTCGGGAGCATAATTTTTCCCAGCTGAATCGTGTATATAGCTGTAGAACTTGTCTAGCATGGCTTCGATCTCATTCTCCAGTATTTCTACAGGAATACCCTTGAATTTTGATGACACGTAGTTTTTCCAGGAGTTAAATCTTAATTTGACCAAATGTCTCAATTCCTCCATACTCAGCGCGTCCTTGACCGAATATTCGAATAATGTAGACGCTTTAGAATACATTTCCGAATTCAAACTGCTTTTCGGCAAACATAACATGGGACTTTTGTTTTGCTTTAAATATTCAAACACTTTGTTGATAACGACTTGAGCGGAGATTGAGAAGAGAAGATCTTTGAAGTCGTCCTTATTTTTATTTTTCATTAACGCCTGAAGGTCTTTTTCGTCTTTGAGTAGTTCTACTATATCTCTATTGTCTAACTCGAAGGTCATAGTGCCTATTACATCGTTGGACTCGATATTACTCTTAAGTCTACGTTGGGTTTTTCTCTTCGCAGTATTCTTTGTCACTTTGACGTTATCCCTAGCCTTATTTAGTTTCAAATCGCGTATTTGTTTCAACGTCTCCGGAGTGAGCTGAGCTTCATTATTAACTTCGGGTAGATTGCTCATAATAGACGCAAATTCTGGTAGCTCAAAGGAAGCGTTTGCGAATTCGGATAACTTCGATGCAATTTCTGGCATGTTCGCTAGTATTTGAGGCATATTTTCAACAAGTTCCACTAGTTTTGTGTTCGCCGAATTAAGATCTATAGATTCTTCAGAGTCAATTTTGTCTAGAAACTCTGCTGAATTTTTATCTAGAGTCATCATAACTTCACAAATCTGTTCTAAAGACAGTTGATTGTCGTCCTCCTTTCGTCCATCTTTGATGCTATTATACGAATTAATTATATTCTGACATTCCTCCATAGCTTTTTTAATTTCAAGCCCGAAGGATACATACTTATAAACGTTTGGATCTTTATCATTTTCTAAAGGCTCCGTTAAGGTTTCTTTCTCATCTTTTACTAAGATAGGAGTCCTTCGAGCATTGAGTGGTATGTTCAATACTTCAGTTGAAATTGGTTGGTTAAAGTCTGAGTTCTCATCTTTTTTCAAAAATTTGTTAACGGAGAGCAGTCGTTGGTTAGGTTTTGAAGTATACACGGGCATCGGTTCCGGAGTAGTTGGTGACATTTCTTGTAGGGGCGGACTTACAGACTCAGGATATTTATTTTCAACTTGCACTTGAAATTCCTCATTACCATCGTTCGTTAAACCAAAATTGGAGAACTTGGCGAGGCATTCTTTCATTTCTTTACACATATCTACCGTCTCTTTTTCTCCTACGATAGTTTCAGTGTCACTTATATTGTCTTCTCTTTCTAGGGGGAAGGCTTCAGGCGGATCGACTTCTATCTTGCTCTGCTCATGTTTAAAATCGGTTAATAAGTGAGTGGTTTGTGCTGGAGCCTTGTGTTTGAGCATTTGAAGTATTTTGTGTGGTTTACTAATAGATGGCGAGACCGGTTTTAGTTTGCGCTTAGAGCCGGTTGTGAGCCGCGGGACTTTTGGGCTAGCTGTCCGCCTTTTGCGGCGGGGTAAGTCTTCGATTAAGGTTACGTTCGATTCCGGGAGACTGTTGAAGAAAATAAAATAGTTATTAGAAACAAATTGTTTTCATAATAATTATCGTGAGACATACTCAATACTTTATTGCTTTTCACTTATATACTTATACACTAACGCCTGAATACTAAAGACTTAAATTTTAAGTTTTTGGTGCGTTTACAAAAAACACATGAAAACCAGACCCGGGACAACAATCTATGGATCACACAAAGAGTTGGTCCGTGTGGGAATCGAACCCGCGACATGCTTCGCGGTAGCCAGTTGCCCAACCACCGCACCAACCCAAAATCCAAGCTACCGGTAGCTTGGATTTCTCCCGTTACTAGTGGGCTACTGCTTTTTATATTTTTTTTATATATAATCAAATATTTAAAAATATATAAGTCAAGTATAGAAATACATAAAGGAAATAATAATATTAACTAGTTTTTAATAAATAAAACTAGTTTTTTTTTTAAATCTGTTATAGATTAACCTCATTACTTCATTGCTGCCTCACATCAATGCCTCATCTTATAAAAATAATAAGTATATTATCTTCTCTATGCCTACCTCTCCCTCTCCTGTCTGAGTTGATCTTCCAGCCACATCCGTAGTCTATGGTAGTAGAGCTGTTGGTCGCGCATGTGCATTACTTTACGTCGGACCTATAATAGAACGATATTTATAGCATAACTTTCGTGAGACATATTGACGAGGAACTCGACTATTTTCAAGACATGCTAGAGGCTCGTATTCATGAACAGCATTCTGCGACCTGCGACGCAGCGACTGAGGCGCTGTTACTGAATATGAGCCTCTAGCATGGCTTGAAACTAGTCGAGTTCCTCGTCAAACAGTTACGTGAGTAAGCCGAAATACATAATAATTAAAATGATATATGTTCAGTTTACGCTTGCGTCATTCCGTCCCCCTCCGGGAAGGGGAGATGAGAATGAGAATCCAAGGGCTTCCCATTCAAACCTCCATGGGATTAAAATCACAAACATTTCTTTTCCTTAATCCCATCAATGGGACTTGTAACATAACTGACGAAAAAACAATTAATTTCGGCCACCCCATCCCCTTTTTAAGGGGGACAAAATGAGTTATATGCATATTTCTTTACTTGATCAATTTTACGGCCCCTATTAACTAAATGTAACTGATAAGTCATTTATCTAGGAAGGCAATGAGTGAAACCGCGCAGGAGTAGCTAGTATTGGGTACTTGCCTTCATCAAAAATAAATTATGTGGACTGTACAATACAATAAAAAATATTAAAAAACAATCCCATTTTCATTAATTGATTTTATGACCCCAGCAATTTTCTAAGAAATAAGTATGCTGTTTGACTCTAAAAAACGTGACGTCACAATACACAATCTCGTACAAAATTCATAGAAAACTGTCGTTTTTGACAGTTCGAAAAAAGTATTGAATTTGACTAGTTGGCAAGTACCCAATTGTAATGTATGTAGTTATTGTTATGATTACCTCCTTGAACCTCTGCAGGTGGTACTCGGGACAGAGCGCACGACAGGCCTGCGGGGGGGCCGCGGGGGGCGGGGACCCGGGGGGAGGGGGCGCCGGCGCCAGGCCCCCCACTAGCTGCATGCACACCTACAACAGGGGGGACGGGGGTGAGCTACATAACAATAAACGACAAACAAAATCTGGGCTAATCTGGGCTAATCCATTGCCGGCCTATAGAATACGTCATCCTATACAGAAATGTCCCAGGAAGAATGAAGCAAATTGAATATGGGGCATAGAGGAGGTCATTCCCAAGTACCAAGAGGAAGAATGGCAGTGTCACCAGCCACCTCGAAGTCACCTCTTATCGAAGGCTTTTTTTTTTAAGGGGGGAAAATCATCGAATGGTTGCTCCCGCCTGGGTGAGGCGGGAGGGAGTGTCAGACTCTTACTGACTAAAAACCACCCCGTTCCTTCTCCTGCACGTCGAGCCGGAGCCCCGGTTACCCGTTAGGTTCTCCGCGACCTTATCGAAGGCTAAGAACTCACGGCGCGTTTTCTCCCGCGCCCACCGCGGTTGCTGTCCCGGAGCCACGCGCTTTTCGTCGGTTGGCGGGCGATTGCAATGGAATCGCGGGTTTGGAACTCAACCGACTGTATGGTCTGTCTTGCGATAATCAACTGCCAAGTTTGCGGGCGATAATCGCAACCGCAGAAAACTGCGGTCTCATGAGTTTTGAAAATAAATCTCCATTCCGCCATCGCGGCGGGCATCTGAGAAAATCGCGCCGTGAGTTTTTAGTCTATTAATTGTTTAGCGTGATGTAGCATCTAAACCAATCCCTTACTTGTATTGTTCGATGTCACTTATAGAATGGTGAAAACCAGATTGCCGTTAAGTATCACCTTTAGACTGTCGAAGTCATCCCCCTTTTTAGGGGGATAGGGGATACCCTAATTCTAAACGTGGCCCCATTAAGATTTTTATTTCTAATATTATGTCGTATCAAGTCGGGAATAAAATACCCACGTAAAAAATGAAAGGGGTGATGAATACTACTTAAATGCTGGAATATAATACTTACAGTGGATAATTTCTTTTGTTTCCTATAAACTTGCAGCTGCCTACGATGCACTTCCGGTAGCCTCCGATACATCGCCATCAGCTTCCGGTCTACCTCAGATAGTCCCATGTCTACGCGTTTCCTGTTAACAATTAATAATTTTAAAGTCAAAAGTCAAAATCATTTATTTCAATTAGACCAGGAAGGCACTTTTGAACGTCAGCAATAGAAATTTAAAAGTGAAGCTATTTGCTCATTCCAAGGTGTAGATTCCTATGGAGAAGAACGAGCAAGAAACTCCATAGGTTACTCTTTTCCAATCAGGTTCACAATACAATTCTCCAGTTACATAGTTTTGTTGGTTCGATTCTGCGAGAACAATGTAACACCAAAATTTAAGTATAAAAACGCGGTTAATTTTTTTTTAAAACACGTCTGTTATTTTATCTGTCGCCAGTGGAACATTAAGCAGTAGGTTTGTCTATAAATAAGGGCGTGTTCAGGGTAGCGACCTATGTCGCATTCTTTTTAATATTTGTGTGTGTCTACTGCAACACATCTTGCGGAACGTGTCGTTTCAGTCGTCTCTTTTTTTTACCGCATAAACCGGTAAACGAGCTGACGGATCACCTGATGGTAAGCAATCGAACACCAGAGGCGTTACAAGTGCGTTACCGGCCTTTTGGGATTAGGAATTTGAGGATTGTTGGGGATTCAGGGATTGGGGAAAGGGGGGGGAGGGTAATTGAGTTGGTTGGTAACTCTTTGATTCTTTCCTATCAATCAACTGCTGTGCCAGCATATTTGGGTGATTAGGGATCCTATGTTACTCCCGCAACAATCGGCATTTGTAATTATTTGTGGTTATCATTATTTTTGCCAATCAAAACACCCTGTTGTCATCGGATTCCGAACCAATCACAAAAGTCGTCATGGAATCGGAATTAAATTCGGATTCAAAACTAGAATCGGTTCCAAAAACTATCCTATCCGGAGATTTAAAACTAGGTTCGAACCAAGTGAATTAAAACAAATAGGAAACCGTCTGTTTTAATGGCATTCAACTATTTAAATAAGGTTCTTACACTAAAACACCTAGTAAATAAATAAAAACACAATTTCACTTAAACCTACCTGGTCTCATGATCATTCCTAGTGGGCGGCGCGGGCCAATCGTCACAATGTTTCAGCACTCGATCCATCAACCTTTCGATAGACGCGATGGACCGCATCAGATGTCTCACTGTACGACAAAGCTGAGCCGGAGCCGCGTCCCCACCGGATCCTGAACCGGAACCGGATCCGGATCCTGATCGGGATCGGGATTCCACTGCAGCCGCTGCAGCGAGGAGTAGCTCTGATGCTGAATCTAATGATGACGATGTTGATAGTCCTAGTGAGTTCGCGTCCGATTCTGATACTGAAATTTAAATAAGGATTTTTAGTCACTTATGTTTTATTTAATGTCGTGGTGGCCCAGAGGTTTAAGACGTCCGATTCTCATGCATGAGGTTTTGTCAACCATATAATTAATAAGATAATTAATAAAACTCACATGAGGGCGCGGGCTCGAAACCTACCAACGGCAAGTACTGCAATGTACGGTCAAAAGTCCACTGCCACCGTAAGACTGCTATCGGTTATACCCACACACACGCTTATTAGTATCCGTGTGCGTACGCGTGCGTGTGTGTATGCGTGTTTATGCACATTAACTCGTCGAGTACCGGTTTTATAGACACAATTAAAGAACAATAGGCCGCGGTCACCGGTGACCGCTTGGTGTTTGACAGATTAATATGAAATTACTTGCGCATTGCCGTGTGAACATCACTCACGGTGGACTTTTGACTGTACATTAATACATCAACAGCCTATAATGCCCACTGCTGAGCAAAGTCCTTTTCTCACACGGAAAAGGTTTTGATCATTAATCAACACGCTTACTCAATGCGGGTTAGCAATTACAAACTTTTAATTAGAAATTATAAGCCCAGGTTTCCTCACGATGTTTTCCTTCACCGTTTGTCAGTGGTGTCTAAATTTTACATACATTCCTACTATTCAAGTCAATTAAATAAATAAATATATACAACTTAAAATATAACTAAATAAAAACTAAAATATTTACACCTTAAAAAAAGTAATAATAATAGAAACGGCACGTATCGTGAGGTTTGTCTCTGGAGCCCTAAGCACCGGTAGCTTGGACCATGCTCCCGCTACTGGTCGGCTCCTATTTTTTATGTTTTTAAAAATGTTTTTTTTTTTTTTTGTAAGTAGTATTTAAAAATGTAATTTATAGAGAATTTTAAATAAATATATGGATAGAATGAATGTTGAATGGCAATGCTTAACCTTTGCCCAAGGTAGTAGGTATCTAAATAGTCTTAGAAAGTACATATAACTCGGAAAAAGTCACATTGGTACTTGCCGCTGGTAGGTTTCGAACCCTCAAATCTCCAGGCCACCACGACATACTTCTTGAAACAAGTGAATTTATTTTTGGAAATAGACTACAAGGCAGCACTTGTACACGTCAATTTTATCAAGTGAACGATGAGGTCGAATATGTGGATATTTCCTCTAAAGACCACTACAGAATCAACTTACACGGTTCTTACGTATTATACACCGTTTTTAGTCGTTTTAATCCCACGGACCTGTGGTTTAACTAACAGAATACTACTCATTACAAGCTTGTACTGCGGTGTAACATCCTTACTAATATTATAAATCTGAAAGTAAGTTTGTTTGTTTGTTTGTTTGTTCCACCTTCACGCCGTAACTACTAGACCGATTGCTTTGAATTTTGTGACAATAGAATACTAAAACAGTAATTAAAAATTAAAAAAAAAACTAGATATCCTTACTATCCTTACTCCTTACTAAAATTATAAATCGGAAAGTAAGTTTGTTTGTTTGTTTGTTCCGCTTCCACGCCGTAACTTTTGCAGACGTAAAGTTAGAAGTCCGGATTAAATAATGGGGTACTTTTTAACCCGGAAAACATTGATATTCCCGAGGAAAAACAAAAGTATTGGTATAGATGGCGCTGTGTGTATTGGTATATGTCACATAGGCTACTTTTTATTCTTTTGTGACGCGAGCGAAGCCGCGGGTAAAAGCTAGTAAAAAATAAATAAATTAGCAAATGATAAGATTATACTCGCAAAATGTATGAAATCTAAAGTTGCGCCACGAGATAGTTACCTACGTCGTCGTCGGTCGTTTTACACATAAGGCAGCACTTTTACACATCAATTTTATCAAGCGAACGATGAGGTCGACATTTCCTAACTGACTACTCTGAGAAGAAATGCCGAAACAAACTCAGAGGTCTGTCTGTTCTAAAGTCCATAATCCTTCTTGAATATTTATGAGACACTTACAGTCGTCCAGGTCACAGGTGGGGTTGGAGTCGGTGTCCTTGTCGTGGTCCGCTGGGGCCAGCTGGCCCTCCGCGCACTCCGCGCCCTCGCCCACACTCTCAGCTAAAGAAAATAAGATTACAGGAATAACAAATTGTGGATCACACAAAGAGTTGGTCCGTGAGGGAATCGAACCCGCTACACGTTGCGCGGCAACCGGTTGCCCAGACACCGCTATTATTTAAAATAATTAATTTAAAATCTTATCAATTTTAGTGCTAATATAAAAGTCAAAGCATTTATTTAAATTAAACCATAGTTTGGTACTTTTGAAACGTCAACAAATACAACAAATAATAGTCTGTCAGTCAGTCCGTCAGTGAAGCTAGGTGAAGCTAGGTGCTCATTCCAAAAATTAGATTCGAATGGAGAAGAACGAGCACAGGTGTAGGCAAAGGTGCACATAACAACACTTAATGCCACTGTACAATGTAACACCCACTTTCCACTATTTATGCTATGAGTCCCATGTAATAGCGGGTGAGCCTATTGCCATATACCGGGCACAATTCCGGACTCCGTGCTACTACTGTGATTTTTTTTAAAACACAGTACTTTGTTCGAACCGGCAATCGAACCAGAGACCCCTTGCCCAGCAGTAGCACTGCACGAGTGTTAATATATACTAATATTATATTTGCGAAAGTAACTCTGTCTGTCTGTCTTTTCTTCACTCCTAAACTACTAAACCGATTTGTGTGAAATTTGGTACAGACATATTTTGGAACTTGAGAAAGGACATAGGATAGTTTCTATCCCGAAAATCTCGCGAGATTTGAGGGCTATGTGGGTAAAAATCGGTTCATTAAAGAAAGGAATCTAAAATGGCGGTGCTTATCATGTTTTCTCGCTTGCACACTAGTGCCGTCTATACTCACTCTTGCGCGTACCGTAGACATAAAAATAATCCCTGTGACGGACCGTCTCATAGATAGTATTAATAAATGAGTTAAAAGTAATATTCGTTCTTTATTTATAAAACCAAAATCATAATAAAGATCCTCAAAAGTGTTTTTTAAATCTTCAACTGGTTAGAAATGAATACGGCCCGATCATGTTTTTATTATTTCTATTTTGAAAAAAATATTCGACTTGAAATTTTGTATGCTCACTGTACTACTTATCAACGCGAGTACAAGCCGCCATTCAAGATTCCTTTCTTTAATGCATCGGCTTATAAAACAAAAATCTGCCGGAAGTCACTATTCCAATCGAGGGAAGTCGCGGGCAAAAGCTAGTATAAGTATATTAGTATAGTATACATACCGCCATCTCCGCTCTCTGCGTCGTCTCCAGTATCGTGCGAGGCGTGGCTCTCCGCGCTGCCCATACTCTGGATGTCATCCGGGCCTTCCTCCGGGGGCCTGAAACGAATATGATATTACATTGTTTATAGAGTGCCATCATGCTTCGGCGCTGCTCACTGCTGGGGCGGCTCGACCGGAGTTATACCACCAACGAGCAGAGGGCCAAGCGATAGTTATTCGTGTTTGGTACTCAGATCCCCAAGCACGAATAACTATCGCATTCGTATCGTAACAGTATCGAGCGAGTTGAGCGTTCTGATTGGTTGGTTCACTTGAGTCGGCCAATCAGAGCGCCGAACGCGCTTGATACTACATATTACGTTACGAATGCGATACTTATTCGTGCTTGGCACTCTGAAAACCATAGCGAAACAACAATTGCGTTACTTTTCCCCTATAATCCTCAAGTTACTAATCCCCAAAAGGCCGGTAACGCACTTGTAACGCCTCTGGTGTTCCGTGTGTCCATGGGCGACGCCGATTGCTTACCATCAATTGATCCGTCTGCTCGTTTACCGGCTTATTCCATTAAAAAAATGAAATAAGTCGCAATTGGGCTTTCGATAACCTCTATCAGACGACGAAATACAACGCTGTGTTTCACTATGATTTTCTGCTCGTTGGTGGTATCTCCGGTCGAGCCGACACTGTAGGGCCCACACATAAAACGTTGATAAAAAGGCGCCCATAATGTAACTTACAAATGATTAAAGTACCAAATGATGTCAGTGGTGTATGATGTGTGCGTGTGTACCATATTACCAGACTTAAGAAACGACAGATGTCCTTCGTGTCAATGTGTATATGTTCTGTGTGCGAGTGTATAGTAGTCTATAGCAGTAGTAGAGAGTAGAAAACTAATTGTCCCATTTCGAATCCCGTCTTGTCACATTACAAAAAGTTTAAGGACAAAGGACAAGGACTCAGTGGCGCCATCTACCGGTACATCAATATACTCACTTGGCACCCGTTCCATCACCCTGCTGTAACTCTCTACTCGTCGTCTCGGATTGTTCTTCGTTCGGAGGCTAGAACAAATAAATTCATAAGTTAGACAAACTAAAAACACGATTTCAATGTCGTCCGCGTTGACCGAGTGGACGCCTGTGCGACTACCGGTCAAGGGGCAAAGGAGGGGGGAGACTTTTAACCCGTAGAGCGTCCGCGTTCCTTATGATCCAACGGGTGCACACGTGACATTTGGAGAAAGAAAGAAATAAAGAAAGAAAGAAAATGCATTTATTTGGCCATTGGCACACGAAAACAAGGATCATTACCACAGAAATAAAAAATACAGTCAAAACAGGGATGACAGCGTATGAGAATTAAAAGTCTAATTAGTCCGTCAGTTAGGTAATGAAAAAATATTAGACACGTATTTTTTTATTTTGTCGTATGAAAAGACAATACATAGATAAAACGAATCAAAGTTGAGTAGTGGGAGGTAGCTACGTCATTTTAGAGTATAAATCGTCCTCAAAAGTGACGTGATGCGATATTTCAAATCAATATATTTTCGAAACTATTCGTTTTCGTAAGAAAATAAAAAATACGTGTCTAATGTTTTAAAATAATCTACCAGACGGACATTAAAATAAAAATTCGTCATCTACCCTATTACCAAGTTTCACGATGATACAACAATTGGGTAGTGTCCAGGGTATCAAAATTTAAAATCTAATTAGTCCGTCAGTTAGGTAATGAAAAGATATTAGACACGTATTTTTTTATTTTCTCGCATTAAGTTGCAATACTTAGATAAAATTGCGCTAAGTTTAGGAGTGGGCGGTCGTTACGTCATAACGTGCTACAAAATGTGACACGCTGTGACGTCACACGATATTTCAAACTAATATATCGTCGAAAGTATTTAATTTTGTGAGAAAAGAAAAAATACGTGTCTAATGTTTTAAATTAATGTACCAGACGGACATTAAAATAAAATTTAGGTAACTATCCTATTACAAGTGTGTGTAAGGGGCTGTTCAAATATTAAGTAAGCAGATTTTTTACAATAATTTACCCCCCCCCCCCCCTACCCCTCTTGTCAGCAAAAGTAAGCAAGGATCTTACCCCCTCCCCCTTTGCTTACGTAAACATTTTAAATTATATCTTTTTTATATTGTAATTTTAATATTTTCCAAATACCATAATGCCTCGTTCTTTGTTGGTCTTTGCTTTTAATTTTTAATTTCAATATGAGGGTTGCCATACGTGTAAAAAAGTAAATAACTACCGATGACGTAATCATCATCTAGACTCCCCAACCCCCCATGTCATCCGAAATAAGCAAAACAGAGACCCCCCCCCGTCCCCCCATGGTGGTTACGTAATACTTGAACGGCCGCTAATTCAGATTCTTAGATTTTGTTACATAATTCTTTACAGGCCGACCTAGTAAAACCGAGTTAAAAATGAATGAATTACCTTATCACCATCAGTTCGCGTTTCGATTTCCGTTCCGTTGAATTCGTTCGCACCATCGATCGTACCGAAAAATGAGACTCTGGAAAATAAATAAATATAAATATACAGCTAAAGAAAACAACCTTTATTTTATTTTTATTTAAAAAAACGTTGACCTACACTAGAATTATCTCCTGTGTCGTGTGTGCGTTTACAAACATACAATTTCACATACACATGACACACAGACCCGAAACAACAATTTGTAGATCACACAAAGTGTTGTTCCGTGCGGGAATCGAACCTGCGTAACGTTGCACGGCAGCCGGTTGCCCAGCCACCGCACCAATCGTGCAGTCAAATCAAATTTGTGAACACAGGTTATACAGAAGGGTGTTTAACATACATTAATAGCATCTCTATGTTCTACCAATAAAATTGGTGTACAAATAGTCATTAAGTTAGTCAGGTACCAAGCATTATTAATATATTTAAATTAAACAAGTATAAAACAATCATGACAGTATGTCAAAATTTATCATTTAGAAATAGGTCAATGGAATAATATGTCAGTCAGTCAATTCCTCTAGTGTGACGTAGCGACGCCGATTGCTTACCATCAAGTGATCCGTCGATTCGTTTACCGACCAATACTAGAAAAAATATATTATTATAGTTTTTACTTACATGGTACTACAGAACCTCGGCCGACCCCATAGACCGCTGTGACAAAAAAAAACATAATAATATTAATGACGATAAAACCGACGTGAAACAACGCTTGTGTTGTGTTTTATTTATTTTTAAAATAACTTAACATCAGGTAGGCAGAGGTGCACATTATACCACTGTACAATGCAACACCCACTTTTCACTATTTATGTTACGAGTCCCATGTAATAGGGGGTGAGCCTATTGCCATATACCGGGCACAATTCCAGACTCCGTGCTACTACTGAGAATATTTAAAAAACCCAGTGTTAAATAAACGATTTCAAACTTATAATTAGAAATTATAAGCTTTCCTCACGATGTTTCCTTCAGTTTGTTCGTGGGGTCTGAGATTTTTAAAAATCCAGTAATACTTTGACCGACCCGGGAATCGAACCCGAGACCCCTTGCCCGGCAGTTGCACTGGCGACCACTCGGCCAACGAGGCAGTCTCGAACTGCAATAACTTTACGAATTAACGTCGAAAGTAATTAGTCGTACATAATTGTTTTTTTTTTATATATTTGACGGGCCGACGTTTGCCCACTATCTCGCCAGCAGCTGTAGCCAAATGCCATTTAGCGCTTGTCTACATGTAGAATAGAAAACCAAATTATATGGAATTGACGTAAATTTTGACACTTTTCAGTGTCATCCCCATACATTTTGATTTCTACTCTCTCTGTAGACAAGCGCTAAAGTGGCGTTTGGCTAAAGGCACTGGTGGTGCACGATGACGCGGTCTACGATGGAGCACGTCGTCCCATAAGCAACCTATTCACTCGGGCCTTGAAGACACCCAGGTTATACCCTTCAGGAAATACAGACTCTGGCAAAGAATTTGACCTCCATGGTCCCCGGACTGTACCTCATCAACTGTTCCCTCTGCTGAGCGCAGAGAGTCCGCGGCGTCAGGCAGTCGCAGCTGTGCTTGTACCCCGCCCACGCCGACACTGCAATAGTACGCCATGTTACGGTAAGGGGGTAGGCAGAAGTGCATACAGGATGTAAACGGACAATTAATGAAATACGCCGACAGATGGTCTAATACAAGTTTTATTTTCATAATAGTAAGGAATTAAAATATGTTTTTTTTTAACCCGTCGAGCGTCCGCGGTCCTTATGATCCAACGGGTGCACACGTGACATTTGGAGAAAGTAAGAAAGAAAATGTATTTATTTGGCCATTGGCACACGAAAACAAGGATCATTACAATAGAAATAAAATAAATACAGTCAAAATAAAAACGAAACATTAATAGTAGATTTTATAAAAGAAAAAGAAGCATGGAGCATTTTTTCTTATGATCCACCGGGTGCTCATAAGGATGCTCGAGGGATTAAACGTTGCCCCACAGTCGCATTTCCTCCTGTATCGTGGGTGCGTTTACAAACATACAAGTTCACATACACATTCACACACCCAGACCCGAAACAACAATTTGTGGATCACACAAAGTGTTGTTCCGTGCGGGAATCGAACCCGCGACACGTTGCACGGCAGCCGGTTGCCCAGCCGCCACACCAACCGTGCAGTCTAATGCAGTGCAGTCTAATATAAAGCGGAAGAGTTTGTTTGTTTGTTTGAACGCGCTAATCTCCGTAACTACAAGTCTGATTTGAATAATTCTTTTTGTGTTGGATAGCGCATTTATCGAGGATGGCTATAGGTTATAAAACATCACGCTACGACCAATAGGAGCTGAGCAGAGCGTGTGAAACCGCGCAGAAGTAGCTAGTAATTTAAATACTTTTATTTAACTTATGGGAGTTTGATGAAGATAACAATGAAATCTTGTATGGGTGGATGTATGGGAACTTGTATTTATTTATTTATTATTATTGTGATGTTAACATGGCTTTACATCAATTACATTAACACACACATAAAGAGAAATCAAAGAGAATCAAACAGTTACAATACCAGAAAAAGAAGAAAAAAACACATAAATAAACATCACATCAAAAAATTTAATGTTTGTCCACGTGCACACGACACAGGAGACTATCTTAGTGTCAAACTCAAATGCATTTATTTCAACTAAATCATAATTTTGTACTTTTGAAATGTTAATAAATATGAAATATATCATAGTCTGTCAGTCAGTCCGTCAGTGAAGATAGGTGAAGCTAGGTGCTCAATCCAAAATGTAGATTCGAGTGGAGAAGAACGAGCAAGAAACTCCATTCGTTACTCATTTTAAAAAAGTGTGTGTGGGACGTCGTTTTTTAGTAATAAAGCGTATAGTTACGGTCAGCGGGCGAGGTGCGCGCGCGCACGTCCCGCAGGCGCGCGGCCGTGGAGGCGCGCGCTGTGGGCCGCAGCGACCGCGCCAGCCGCGCGCGCGCACCCCGCACCCACGCCGCGCCGCCGCGCGCCGCGCACCACATGTCCACCTGCACGGAGCAAACAGGAACAACTGTATAACAACTTGGTGACATACCGTATAACAACTTGCACACACCTGTATAACATTTTGGCAACACGCTGTATATATATTTATATGTATGATGATATTTATATTATATACTTGTGTGTATATATATAAGATTATATTTACGTATTTTATGTATGCTTTTATTAATTTGGATAATTACCACTATCTCTCATAACATTTTTGCAGCTTACCACCTACCACAGACATTTCTGCACTACCCAAAGGATGACTGGCAGAGAATGCTGTTAGCATTAAGTCTTCCTTATGCAATTGTATAAAACTTAAATAAATAAAATAAATAAATAAATATCAAGTTGACAACTCTATGTATAGCAAATATATGACATGAAACTCATAACACAACTAGTGAAAAGTAAGTGTTACATTGTACAGTGGTATAATGTGCACCTCTGCCTACTTCGAGGATAAAATGCGTGATATTATGTTATGCTATAAAATCGTATACAACATGTAACGTAATTAACGCACACCCTCAAACACCCCAATTAGAGTATTATGTTATAATCATAATACATACACTAAATTTTTAATTTAACATGTGTATGCATCCTTACTGGTCTTGTCATAAGGTTTATTTTTCTTTATTTTGTATTGAATGATAGAATTTGTATGAATACAAATAAAACTGCGATTTTAAAAGTCTTATTGCTTTGACTTACGGTCCATTTCGATTTGTTTTAACAATACAGGGTTAATATGACAATAATTTCCGTAGTTTTAATTATTTTTGGGATAAAAAATTACCTATACTAAAAGTTATATAAATCGATTCAGTTAACGATTCTGAACAAACTATTTTCAGGATGTGCGTTATTTAAGTTACATGTTGTATAATAAACATACATTGAACGAGATAGTAGAAGCCGCCTTGAAGTTCTCCAGTATCTTGTAGAACCTCTCGCCAGCATTCCTGGAATAATACAAAAGGTAATTTTAATGAAGTTAATAAATTCGCTGCCTCATTGGCAGGAGTGGTCGCAAGTGCAAGGGGTCTCGAGTTCGATATCCCAGGTATGAGAAAGTATTACAGGGTTATAAAAAATCTCAGTAGTAGCAATCAGTCTGGAATTGTGCCCGGTATATGGCAATAGGCTCACCCCCTATTACATGGGACTCATAACATGAATAGTGAAAAATGGGTGTTACATGACATTAAGTGCCGTAATGTGCACTTCTGCCTGCCCGTATGGGGATAAAAGGCGTGATGTTATGCTATTAGATCTGCAGACGAACAGAGGGATCACTTGATGGTAAGCAATCGGTATGGCCCATGGACACACGGAACACTAGAGGCGTTACAAGTTCTGTACGGTGCGTACACTTGCAGCGTTGTTGTTGAGTTTGGAGCGCGAAGAGAAAAGATTCACTTAGTTAGATTTAGAACGTTTCATTGTGTTCACAATAAAACTGTTGACGATTCCTTTCTCTAATGTTGGTAATTGCACTAATTGCACTCACTCATTTATTATGTTGTATCGGTATTTATAGGAACAAAATATGTACGTCAGTCATTTTAGGACTGTACAAGTGTTCTGTAGGCCTTTTGGACGGGTACAGCCTTTTAGGGGATTAGGGAATTGAGAATACAATACTTACTCCTTATCAAAGGGCTTGTCGTAGGGGCGACAGAGACATATCTTGTGCACGATGTCGCGCGTCACGTCGCTCTGCGCCGCCAGCTTCGTTAGTTGCTCGTGGATTATTGCTGAACCTGCATCAACATATACATGGCAACTCGATTGATTTACATTGAGCGAGTGTGTGTAAGTGAATGAAGGAATGAGTGTGTATGTGTGTGAATAAATGAATGAATGGAAGTGTGTGTGAGTGTTTTTTTTATATATTTGATAGCGGACGTTTGCCCACTATCTCAAATTCAAAGCATTTATTTCAATTAAACCATAAGTTGGTACTTTTGAAACGTCAACAAATACAAAATAAATAATAGTCTGTCAGTCAGTCCGTCAGTGAAGCTAGGTGAAGCTAGGTGCTCATTCCAAAATGTAGATTCGAATAGAGAAGAACGAGCAAGAAACTCCATTCGTTACTCTTTTTAAAAAAGTATGTTCTACAATGTCTCTGATATATATTCCAATACTGTACGTATATATGAGAACAATGCGCAACATGCTTGACGCATTATAGGTACTAATTACAAAACTTACTAAAATAAAATAAAAAAATCCTATAGTCTAACATGGTGCTCACATATGCATACTGACAATCCATAAAAATAGTGCTTCTATACAAGAAAAAGGAAACTCTTTGTTTCAATAAAGAAAGAGCCTGGTGGTAAGCGATGATGCGGTCTACGATGGAGCACTTCGTCCCATAAGCAACCTATTCACTCGGGCCTTGAAGACTCCCAGGTTAAAATACAGACGCTGGCAAACAATTCCACTCCTTACGGCCGTTCCCAATATTCTATCTATCCCTTGTTTTGCCCTACTGGAGATAGATAAAATTCTATCTATCTTTATATTTGCCGTCTCAACAAACTTACTGGCGACACAAGGAAGCTTGATGCGAAGCGCTTCGTGCGTGTGGGTGGGACATCTACCATGATGTGTGAATAAAATAAGAGAAAAGAAATAAATACGTTGCTACCATCCGTGTGTCACTGCATGGGTGCCCACTGAAAATCAGTGCTGGGGGACTTGTATGCCTGGCTTACACTGAGTGGGTGACCCTTTTAGCATAGGCATGTTGTCAGCGTCTCTCTTCTAATTCTTCTGTTTTAATTTTTCAATTCTTATATTTTATTACTTCCACTGTCACATCTTGATTGTCTTTCTTATATTTTATTTATGCTGCATCGTGCCTGGTGCTGAATAAATGTTTTTTTCTTTCTTTCTAAATGAAAGAATGAATGAATGTATTAATGTGTGTGTGTATGTGCGTGAGTCGGCATTTCTTCTCAGAGTAGTCAGTTAGGAAATGTCGACCTCATCGTTCGCTTGATAAAATTGACGTGTAAAAGTGCTGCCTTGTAGCCTATTTGCAGAAATAAATTCACTTGTTTCACTTGAGTGTTCGAGTAAGTAAAGTGAGTGAAGTGTGATTTTTTTTTATAATCGAGTATGTATGTTGTGGCGTCACCTTGCGGCGCGGCGAGCGCGCGTCGCAGCGTGGCGGTGTCCCAGAGCTGCGCGGGCGCGGCTGGCGCGGCGGGCGCGGAGGGGGCCGCCTGGCCGCCGCCCAGCCCGCGGACCACGCGCGCCGCCACGCCCACCGTACTGCCGCCTGCGGGGGGTTACATCAATATTACCTTATTATAACATTACAACACGCTTATTATCCCCGAAGGGGTGGGCAGAAGCATTATGCCACTGTACAATGTAACACCCACTTTTCACTATTTATGTTATGAGTCTCATGTAATAGGGGGTGAGCCTATTGCCATATACCGGTACTTACCAGTAATACTTTGCCCGACTCGGGATTCGAACCCGAAGATGGCTATAGGCTATAAAACATCACGCTACGACCAATAGGAGCTGAGTAGAGCGTGTGAAACCGCGCGTAAGTAGCTAGTATGTATATACGTACAATGAGCGAGCGCCCAGACGACGTCCCGTATGACGGCGAAGACCGCGTCCGCGTTGTTGGCCAGGCACAGGCACAGCTGGCAGTGGCAGCCGAACCGGGCGCGGTACATCCACTCCTCCGTCACCATCTCCATGCTCCTGGGGGGGGGGGGACAGTCTCTATTAAGTGGGGGAGAGCCGGGCTTCGGCACTACAGTGCCGGCTCGACCGGAGTGATACAACGAGCAGAAAACCATAGTAACACAAACACAACATTGTCTTTCATCTTATGTGTGAGGAAAGTGGAAGCCCAATTACCCCCCTCCTCAATAATCCTCAAATATCTAATCCCCAAATGTCGGTAACGCTAACACACCTTGTACCTTGTGTCCATGTGCGACGCCAATTGCTTACCATCGGGTGATCCGTTTGGCCTTTAGCCAAACGCCACTTTAGCGCTTGTCTACAGAGAGAATAGAAAACTAAATGTATGGGGATTACACTGACAAGTGACAAAATTTACGACAATTCCATATAATTTGGTTTTCTATTGTACATGTAGACAAGCACTAAATGGCATTTAGCTACAACTGCTGCTTATCTCATAAAAAAAAGAAAACATGCAACGGGGGTTGATTATGTTCAGGAATAAAACCATAAAACTTTTGAATCCCACGAGCACGCGATCAAAGCCGTTGTCAGACGCTAGTATATGTACTTTTTTATATTAAATGGGCCAACTTTTGACTATCTCGCCTGGTGGTAAGCGATGATCCGGTCTATAGTCAGAATTTTAATTCGATTCCAGATTTCACATTAGATACTGTCATTTTGTGAAATAATGATAGCACATATATAATCTACTATATTGTAATGACCTGGGTTCAGGTAACTGGGTGATGAAAGATTAAACCGCGGCAATAGGTACATAAAATTTATTCAACATTGACAATAATATTAAACTGAACTAAATAACTGTAAATCACTTAAAAAAACATAGAAAAGGCATAAAACCTAAATAAAACAGTAAAATCAGAATACAGGAAAAAATGAATTATAACAAAAGTTTTGTGAGTCTTGGGTTCGAACCCGAGTTCAACCGTGTCGACGTATACGATGCTACACCCCGAGACCAACTGGTTACTTGAGAACAATGGTGAAAATCTTAATCTCTATGCGTCAGGATCAACTGGCGTAACGGAGGCTGAATCACAGTCCTAAAGTTTCTCCCGAATAATTAAGGGCGTATCCGCAAGCTGAGGACAATGTAAAAACAATCAGCCTTGCAAAATATTGCCGATGATCCAGTGTACACTTCCGTAAAGTAAACGCAAACACTTACCCCGTTACTGCAACCACACTCACTTGTCACTGGCAATAATACTTATGTATTTATTATTCATTACAGATTTCTGATCAATTATGGCTTTAAGTTACAGCAATTATGCAAATTAAATGAGGACCCGTTAGCTGTCTCCTTTCTTTATATAATCGTCATCTGTCAGATTTATTTTTTTTCATTTTCTTTTACTGCCACCCTCACTTAACCATGATAAATATATGATTTATATTAATGTGGCTAGCCTAGTAACGCCATCTATTAATGCACTTCAGAACTAAATATCGATCATTACAATATCCCCTCTCCTCTGAGGAATCCAACCGGATTCAAACCAAACGTTTAAGGTCACAAGAATGCCATTTTCCTAAATCTTTTCCCTTGAAACTCTTTAGTCTGTAAACGTCGTCTGATATCTTTTCGGCTACGACTGCTTTTTCAAACTTAGGTGCCAATTTGGACATAAAAGACTTGTCAGCATTCGATAGCAGCTTAGTGCGCTTCCAAACCAGATCACCCTCATTATATCTACAAGTACGACGTCTCTTATTGTACTGATCACTGTTGGTCTCATGTGACTGCCGCATTCTTTCAGAAACTTCCTCATAAATTTTATTTCTGAAGGCCATATTTCTTTCAAATCTCTCTTTATCGAAAGTTATCGGTTGACCCGGTTCAAAGTTGTAAGGTTTCATGGCCCGGATTGTTGTTTCGCGTCCAAAAAACAAATACGCTGGCGTTTTCCCGGTCACTTCATGAACCGATGTCCTGATTGCATGACCTATGTGTGGTATGTACTTGTCCCATTCCTTGTGATTATCTTCCACGTATGAAGCTATAGCTGAGCCAATGACCTTGTTTACTCGTTCAGTGGGATTAGCCTGAGGATGATAATAAGGAGTGTACCATAGTTTTACACCGTACTCTGAAACTAAATCCTTAAACTGGTTGGATACAAATTGCTTCCCATTATCACAAACTATTACGCTGGGGGTTCCATACATTAAAAATATATCTTCCTCCAGTATTCGAGCTATAGTTGATGACTTTCCATTCCGGAGAGGGTACAAAAAACAGAATTTGCTGAACCAGCACGTGATGACTAACAGCATAGTATTACCATGCTTCGATTTTGGAAAGGGTCCCATTAAGTCCATTGATATAATCTGAAAAGGTTCTGATACCTCTCGTTGCTTTCCCATTAAACCTGATGGCTTACTTTGTGAGTACTTATACTTCGCACACACTTCACATTTCCGTACAAAGTCTTTCATGTCCTTTATTAATGTCGGCCAGAAATATCGCTGTCTTGCTCGGTTGACTGACTTTTTAACACCAAAGTGGCCAGCTGTGGGGTCATCATGGCATTCCTTCAGGATGCCTTGGCGAAGCGTTTCGGGAATCACAAGTTTCCAACTGTCATTTTCATCTGGAAATTGTTTTAATTGCAAATGTTTCCACAGTTGTCCTTGGCTAACCTCCCAATCCGGTTCATTCTTCCCAGACAGCACCAAGTCTTCTTTTGATTTATACCAGTCATCTTTATCTTCTGGTTTTATTTCTAAAATGTTAATTTCTTCTTCAATCGCTCTTGATAAAGCATCCGGCACAGTGTTGTATTTACCTTTACGGTGGACTATTTCATAATCAAATTGCTGTAAGCGCATTGCCCACCTCGCCAAACGTCCGTGAGGATCCTTGTTACGGTGTAGCCACTGAAGGGCGCTATGGTCCGTGATGACTTTAAAGTGATTCCCTTCTACATATGGACGAAATTGTTCTACAGCATGTAGAACACTCAACAGTTCTCGCTCAGATGCTGAGTACTTGCATTCCCTTTCCGATAATTTTCTGCTCGTGTAAGCGATTGGAGCCTCGAGTCCGTCGACTATTTGAATTAAAACTGCACCAGTTCCCCTGTTAGAGGCGTCACATTGAATAGAAAAGGGTTTGGTGAAATCTGGCACTCTTAACACTGGTGTCGAGGTCAAGGCAGTCTTCAGGTTTAAGAAAGAATCTTCTGCCTCTTTATTCCATTCTATACATTTAGTCCTCTTGCCTCCTTTAGTTAATTCATGAAGCGGAGCTGCGACAATGGCAAAATTTTCCACAAACCGCCTGTACCAACTAGCTAGACCAATGAATCGCTTTAGTTCCGTGTAAGTAGTAGGCCTGGGATAGTCGAGAATCGCCTTCACTTTATCTGGGTCGGTACGTAATCCTTCCTTGTCTACGATGTAGCCCAAGTATTTTAATGATGATCTCGCAAATACACATTTCTCCAGATTTATCGTTAATCCTGCCTCTTTAAGCTGATTTTTGACATGTGACAATGACGATAAATGGTTTTCAAAACTGCTGTCACAAATGACGATGTCATCCAAATATGTAAACACTCGAGTCTCAAATGCCGGCGTAAACAACCGATCCATCAATCGTTGTTGTGTTTGAGAAGCGTTGACTAGTCCAAACGGCATGACTTTAAACTGATAAAGTCCTTTTCCCGCGAGTCCAAAAGCTGTCTTTTCCTTGCTGGTTTCTTCAAGCGGTATTTGCCAGAAAGCTGATCGTAAATCAATAGTAGACAGAAACTGAGCATTTTTTAGACTGTCTAAGATGGTTGTAACCCTAGGCAAGGGATAAGAATCTTTTATTGTAATCTTATTTAACTGGCGACTGTCGAGGCACAATCGATTCTTACCCGAAGTCTTTTTCACTAGTAATACTGGAGAACGCCATGAACTAAAGGAGGGCTCTATTACGTCATTGTCCAGCATATCCTGAATTTCCTTCTCAAGCTCTGCCATAATTGGGGGAGCAAAGGGGTACTGCCTATGTTTGACGGGCAAGCTGTCCCCGGTATCGATTCTGTGCTTGATCAACGATGTTCTTCCCAAACCTTTACCAATATCTGCTGCCATTTCAACCAACAGTTTGTCGAGCCGCTCTTTCTGTGAGGCCGACAGTTCATCTCGCGAGATCACTGGTAGCTGTACCTTTATTTCCGAGATGTTAATCATTGGTTTGCCTGCCCCTATTGCTAAATTGAATAATTCAAAGAAATTCATGCCTAAGATAATATCATGTTTTAAACAATCCATGATATAAAAATCTACCACATTATATTTTCCCATAAACTCAATGGGTAAATGCACAATGGAATCCATTGTATGGTAAGTGCCATCTGCCGTAGATACCATTTCCTTGTCAACTTTATGCTCTGAAAACCCTAATTTCATAACTCTCGTTGCAAATTGCGGAGAAATTACTGAGATAGTGGCTCCAGAATCTAATAATCCCACAAATGGCTGATTCAAGATTGTTAGTTCAGCATAATATCGATTATCTTGACTGTGTTTATTAATGTTATGTATTTTCCCCGTTTTCCAAAATATTGAAACCGTGTGTAGCCATTGTTTCCAGTCATCCGAGATAGAATGACTTAGTTTTTCGGGGTACGATCGGCCGGCATCGACTCCGACTTGTCGTTTCCCTTATCAGTGGTATTGCATGGGCATTTATTTGTCGTTTTCCCGAAACGTCCACATCTATAACAGAAGAGTCTCTGTTTTGGCAACTTACAATCCCTGAAGCGATGGCCTGGAGATCTGCAGTTCCAGCACTTCGTCAACTGCACTTCTCTATTATCTATAGCTGCTAGCTCAGTCGTATCATCGTTTCGTGAGGTCCTCGAAGTATTACCCTTGTATGCTAAATCTTTTTCCAATGAATAATCACTTTGGGTAGGTTCTTTAAAATTTTCACAGCTCAACTTGGTGCATTCAATAATCCTGAGAACTGCAGTTAATTCGCCCACTGAATCGAAAGTATCTCGACATATAGCTTTTTGAAAGTATGGTTGTAAATTTCTTCTAAGTATTATTAATTTTTGCGTTTCTGGAATTGGGGTAGGTAGTCGATTAAACATATTCTGCATAATAGCTATATAGACCGAAACACCTTCCTGATTACTTTGAGTTCGACGCTTAATTTCTTCCAATAGCTCTTCTTGATAATACGGTCGCTGAAATGTGTCTAACAGTAGCCTAACCAATTGTGACCAATTTGCCGCTGAATTTTTATTAGCCCTAAACCATATCAACGCTTCTTCTTCAAAGAAGTCTATGGCGTAGCGAAACAAGTCTTCATCGGTAGCATTCCGCGCCTCTTTAAGTTCCTCAATTCTTTCCAAGAACGCGTTTACACTTATGGTGCCCTTACCACTAAACTTGACACCCCAATCTTTAATCGGTACCAACTTCCGTTTGTGAAAGCCATTATCAAATGTAGAAGTCCTTTGTAAACCAAGATGACATGAGGAATGACTAGGTCTCTCCAAGACGGGAGGTGGTGTGTCAGCCTCAGCCACCGCCGATTGTGGAGCTCGATCTTGATGTATTTGAGTGTTAGTACCCTTCGGTAAAGAATTGTTCTCTGGGTCTCGGCACTTTTCCAACTGTTCCATAATCTGTATGGCCTCTTCGCCAAGCGACTTCTGTAAGATGTCCTTATCATGTTCAGAAATTCCCTCATCATCCTCACCTTCTTCTTGCTCAAGTTGTCTTAATGACGATAAGGTATCTTGAATATTCTTTAGCAAGGTCGAATGATTCGCAATATCACTAGACTCCGAGGGTATTATTAGTTTAGCACGATTTGACAAGTGTGTCAAACGAGAGTGTATGCGTTTACAAAACGAGTGCTCAGGACTGTGTGATACTTCAGATATAAGTAAATTAATAGCTGATAATTTCTTTTTACAAATTAATATTTCATCTTTTGGATTCTCGATGCATGACTTAGGTGCCTTAAAGGAAATAGAGGACTCACCTGACTGCTCGCGAACTAAAATTTCTCGCAAAAATTTCCGCATAGTCGCCACGGTTTTACAATCAGAAACCCCTCGACATGCCAACTCAAATTCGAGCTCATCTTTATATAATGCATTAACATCCATGACTAAGCAATAATAGAACTTTAAATAATCAAACAATATTTACTTGATGAATATAATACTTACTACCTACCACTACCCACGAAATTACAATATCTGTCCGGAATGAATGCCTACTTCTTACACTGTTACACAAGAATCTCTTTACAATACACCTTGTTAATCCTTCATTCAGTTAACCCTTGGGCGCCAATGTAATGACCTGGGTTCAGGTAACTGGGTGATGAAAGATTAAACCGCGGCAATAGGTACATAAAATTTATTCAACATTGACAATAATATTAAACTAAACTAAATAACTGTAAATCACTTAAAAAAACATAGAAAAGGCATAAAACCTAAATAAAACAGTAAAATCAGAATACAGGAAAAAATGAATTATAACAAAAGTTGTGGACTTGGGTTCGAACCCGAGTTCAACCGTGTCGACGTATACGATGCTACACCCCGAGACCAACTGGTTACTTGAGAACAATGGTGAAAATCTTAATCTCTATGCGTCAGGATCAACTGGCGTAACGGAGGCTGAATCACAGTCCTAAAGTTTCTCCCGAATAATTAAGGGCGTATCCGCAAGCTGAGGACAATGTAAAAACAATCAGCCTTGCAAAATATTGCCGATGATCCAGTGTACACTTCCGTAAAGTAAACGCAAACACTTACCCCGTTACTGCAACCACACTCACTTGTCACTGGCAATAATACTTATGTATTTATTATTCATTACAGATTTCTGATCAATTATGGCTTTAAGTTACAGCAATTATGCAAATTAAATGAGGACCCGTTAGCTGTCTCCTTTCTTTATATAATCGTCATCTGTCAGATTTATTTTTTTTCATTTTCTTTTACTGCCACCCTCACTTAACCATGATAAATATATGATTTATATTAATGTGGCTAGCCTAGTAACGCCATCTATTAATGCACTTCAGAACTAAATATCGATCATTACAATATAAAAATAAGTCGGGTTTTCCTTCCTGACGCTATAACTCCAGAACGCACGAACTGATTTCCACGGTTTTGCATTCGTTGGAAAGGTCTCGGGCTCCGTGAGGTTTATAGCAAAGAAAATTAACTTTTAATCACCAAACGAAATCTATATATATATATAAAAGAAAGTCGTGTTAGTTACACCACTATTATAATAAATTTGGTTGAAAATTGGTAGGGAGGTAGCTTAGAGCCAGGAGACCGACATAGGATACTTTTTAAGCTTAGAGCCAGGAGACCGACATAGGATACTTTTGAAGCTTAGAGCCAGGAGACCGACATAGGATACTTTTTTACCAAATTTTTTTTTTTTACTTTTTACCGAAAATCACGAACGGTGACGGGAAAAAATGGGATTACGCGTACGAAGTCGCGGGCAGAAGCTAGTGTTACATAAAACGAAGCCATCTAGTGTCGAAACGGAGTTCGCCGGGTTTACTAGTAGTGGATACATATGTATGTAACTATTTAGTACTTGTAATAACGTTGCAACATTGAAATTGTCAAATGTGGAGTCGAATTAAAATTCCGTGTATGGGATAGAGCACGTCGTCCCATAAGCAACCTATTCACTCGGGCCTTGTATAGCGTAGACAATATAGATTATTTTTTTAAGGGGAGAAAATCATCGAATGACTGCTCCCGCCTGGGTGAGGCGGAAGGGAGTGTCAGACTCTTACTGACTAAAAACCACCCCGTTCCTTCTCCTGCACGTCGAGCCGGAGCCCCGATTACCCGTTAGGTTCTCCGCGACACAATATAGAGTATACTAACATATCAGTCTCGATGATGGTGAACATGAGCGCCGAGATCTCGCACCACGAGTGGAACACGCCCAGCAACCACTCCGCCACCGGGGACCACGCCGCGCTCACCTCGCCGCGCTCCGCGTCTAAAGGGGAATATTTATATAATACATAACATCACATCTTCTATCCCCAAAGGGGTAAGCAGAGGTGTACATAATGACACTGTACATGTAACACCCACTTTTCACTATTTATGTTAAGAGTCCCATGTAATAGGGGGTGAGCCTATTGCCATATACCGGGCACACTTCCAGACTCCGTGCTACAACTGAGAATTTATAAAAACCCAGTAATACTTTGCCCAATCCGGGTATCGAACCCGAGACCCCTAGCACTTGCGACCACTCGGCCAACGAGGCAATGTTATGTTATGTATTATTATAATACATAACATAACATCAAGCCTTCTATCCCCGAAGGGGTAGGCAGAGGCACATTATTAAGTGCAATGTTACATTCAAAAGCGACACTGATTGCTTTTCATATAGGATTAATTGGTCAACGAGCAGACGGATCACCTGATGGTAAGCAATCGGCGTCGCCCATGGACACACGGAACACCAGAGGCGTTACAAGTGCGTTACCGGCCTTTTAGGGATTAGGAATTTGAGGATTGTTGGGTATTCAGGGATTGGGGAGTTTGAGGGATTGAGGAGTTTGGGGGATTGGGGAGTTTGAGGGATTGGGAAGTTTGGGGATTTTGGGGGATTGGGGAGTTTGGGGGATTGAGGAGTTTGGGGATTGGGGAGTTCGAGGGATTGGGGCGTTTGGGGGATTGGGTAATTGGGTCTCAGGTAACCTCACTCACACGACGACGCTTACCAAAAAGCCCGCTCGTTCTATTGACCCACTCTATCAATAAAAATACGCACCCATTCCGCAGACGTAGTGCAGTAAGGCAGCCTCCTCCTCGGCCGTCACCGATGTGTCGTCAAATTCTAGCACCTCGCTGCCAGACAGCCTGTGGGAGATGAAAAATAATACATTATTGTATATTTTGACTGCCTCGTTGGCCGAGGGGTCGCAAGTGCGACAACTTAATTTTCATATTCTTCCAAATATTTTTTTAAGGAACCCATGGTGTTTGACGCTAAGAAACGTGACGTCACAATACACTAGCTCGTACAAAATTCATAGAAAACTGTCGTTTTTGACAGTTCGAAGTCAAAGCGGAACAAACAAACAAACTCACTTTCCGATTTATAATATTAGTAAGGATAGTAAGGATATACAAATACTTACATGTCAGTCTGTGGTTCTGGAGGGCAGTGCAGATCCTCCTCGGCGGGTATCTCCTCGTGAACTCCCTCCTCTGTGGACGCGAGGAGCTAGAACAAGACGGCAACGATATAACAACTGGTTTATGTTTTTTAACCCTTAGAGCGCCACGTCAGTCACCGGTGCCTGACGCTAGTGGAGGTTTGACTTTCACCATTTTAAACTTGGCAGTTAAAGTATTAACTATTTTTATGTGAATTTGTTAACAACAATAGGGTCGTTTCCTAAATTTTATTTTAATGTCCGTCTGGTAGATTAATTTAAAACTTTGGACACGTATATTTTCTTTACTCACAAAATTAAATACTTTCGACGATAAATTGATTTGAAAAACATCAGTTATGTTTTGTTTTAAACATTTTATTTCTTTGTAAAACTATTGTATTACCGAGACAGAACCATTTTACTTCGCGACGTAAATGAAATAGATTCTAATAGATAAAATGTATATTTGCATGCCAATTAAGGTAGAATGTACAAGGAACCTTAAAATTTTGTAACACCTAATATTTTAACTAGCGCAGCTCACTAAGCTCAGTGAGCTGCGCGACGTCGCCGCGACCGCGCACGCTGCTCATGAGGAAGAACCCCTTTGTTCGAAACTAGTAGAGCTTTTCTCAGTATATTCAGGTGAGTAACCCGCGATTTTAGTTAATTTAGTGTCTCACGATAGTTATTATAAAAACCTAATAATTTGTACCTACATTCATTGGAAATAAATAATCAATACTCTTTTATTTCTTCAATTCACGGTGTATACCTGCCACCAATCGGCATACCTGCAGTATGTCCTCGTGTCGGATGGGAAAGTGCTCAGGGTCCGGAGCCGGAGCCTCAGCGCTCAGCAGCGGCAGGAGGAACTGGCCCATTGCTGGGGCCTCCGCCTGTACACAAACATAATACAATAGAAATAGGGTAGTTTTCTAAATTTTATTTTAATATCCGACTGGTAGATTAATTTATAACAAAATAAAAACTGGTGGTTATTTTGATATATGTAACGTATTGTATATGCATATGCACGTAGTAAAAATGGTAATAGCAAATAAATGCAAATAAATGATTTGATAGAAATAACCGCTTTTTACTATCACAAACAGACATTCCAATTTTATTTATCAGCATAGATGTATTATCTTTTTTTTATTGGTACAAGCCCGCCAAACAATTCCCAAAACCGCTGCAACTCCTGTGCACCAGAATCTACAGTAGATACAACCATTAAAACACCGGAGCACTGAAGTCCGGCGCGTCGCAGGGACATGAGTAACTGTCTTGGTTCCCGCAAAGAAGTGAATCAGAAGTAATTATAAGAAAAAAACCGATAGTTTCCACTTCCCCTTGGTCAATTACTTCAGGAGACATAATGAATTAAGCCTAAAGGCACAAAAAAAAGACTTTGCAACTGAGTAAAGCCCAGATGTATTATCTATACATCTACAACACTGCCTTTCACGTCGAACTTGAAAAATTATTATTCTTTTTACGAAAGATCCCGTTCCCCAATTTCCCCAATTCCTGAATCCCCAACGATCCTCAAACTCCTAATTCCCCAAAAGGCCGGTAAAGCACTGGTAACGCCTCTGGTGTTCCAGGTAGCCATGGGTGACGCCGATTGCTTACCATCAGGTGATCCGTCTGCTCGTTTACCGGCTTATGCCATAAAAAAAGACACATGACTGGTTTCATACACCCTTATTTTTTGAGGGGGGAAAATCATGCATTGACTTCTCTCGCCCGGGTAAGGCGGAAAGAAGTGTCAGACTCTTACTGACTAAAAACCACCCCGTTCCTACTCCTGCACTTCAAGCCGGAGCCCCGGCAACCCGTTAAGTCCTCCGCGGCTCCGTTTGACATGATGGAACCCAGAACAGCTAGGATATTTTGTAACTTTCTATTCGAAAAGGTCGAAGTGAACTCGATCGCTTTTAGTCAGTAAGAGTCTGACGCTCCCTCTCGCCTAACTCAAACTCAAGGCAGGAGAAGTCATAGCATGATTTTTCCCTACAAAAAAAGGTCGCCATGTCATTGGTTGTGTGAATAATCTCGACCAATGACGTGCGAGAACGCTGTCGAACTCGCCATGTCATTGGTTTTGCGAATAATCTCGACCAATGACGTGTGAGAACGCTGTCGAGCTCGCCTCATTGGTGCGAATAATCTCGACCAATGACGTGTAACGCTGTCGACCATGTCATTGGTTTTGCGAATAATCTCGACCAATGACGTGTGAGAACGCTGTCGAGCTCGCCATGTCATTGGTTGTGCGAATAATCTCGACCAATGACGTGTGAGAACGCTGTCGAGCTCGCCATGTCATTGGTTTTGCGAATAATCTCGACCAATGACGTGTGAGAACGCTGTCGAGCTCACCATGTCATTGGTTGTGCGAATAATCTCGACCAATGACGTGTGAGAACGCTGTCGAGCTCGCCATGTCATTGGTTGTGCGAATAATCTCGACCAATGACGTGTGAGAACGCTGTCGAGCTCACCATGTCATTGGTTGTGCGAATAATCTCGACCAATGACGTGTGAGAACGCTGTCGAGCTCGCCATGTCATTGGTTGTCTCTTATAATACAGGTTCCCCTAGTGTAAGAGACAGGGTTTTACAGTGTCTGCGCATAGATTTATGTCCTTTAGATTTAAGATTTGCAATCATGTATTTATATCTATGTATGTTTGGTGGTAAATAAACTATTATTATTATTGGTTTTGCGAATAATCTCGACCAATGACGTGCGAGAACGCTGTCGAGCTCGCCATGTCATTGGTTTTGTGAATAATCTCGACCAATGACGTGCGAGAACGCTGTCGAGCTCGCCATGTCATTGGTTTTGCGAATAATCTCGACCAATGACGTGCGAGAACGCTGTCGAGCTCACCATGTCATTGGTTGTGCGAATAATCTCGACCAATGACGTGTGAGAACGCTGTCGAGCTCGCCATGTCATTGGTTTTGCGAATAATCTCGACCAATGACGTGCGAGAACGCTGTCGAGCTCACCATGTCATTGGTTGTGCGAATAATCTCGACCAATGACGTGTGAGAACGCTGTCGAGCTCGCCATGTCATTGGTTTTGCGAATAATCTCGACCAATGACGTGCGAGAACGCTGTCGAGCTCACCATGTCATTGGTTGTGCGAATAATCTCGACCAATGACGTGTGAGAACGCTGTCGAGCTCGCCATGTCATTGGTTTTGCGAATAATCTCGACCAATGACGTGCGAGAACGCTGTCGAGCTCGCCATGTCATTGGTTTTGCGAATAATCTCGACCAATGACGTCTGAGAACGCTGTCGAGCTCGCCATGTCATTGGTTTTGCGAATAATCTCGACCAATGACGTGCGAGAACGCTGTCGAGCTCGCCATGTCATTGGTTTTGCGAATAATCTCGACCAATGACGTGCGAGAACGCTGTCGAACTCGCCATGTCATTGGTTGTCTCTTATAATACAGGTTCCCCTAGTCAGGGTTTTACAGTGTCTGCGCATAGATTTATGTCCTTTAGATTTAAGATTTGCAATCATGTATTTATATCTATGTATGTTTGGTGGTAAATAAACTATTATTATTATTGGTTTTGCGAATAATCTCGACCAATGACGTGCGAGAACGCTGTCGAGCTCGCCATGTCATTGGTTTTGCGAATAATCTCGACCAATGACGTGTGAGAACGCTGTCGAACTCGCCATGTCATTGGTTGTCTCTTATAATACAGGTTCCCCTAGTCAGGGTTTTACAGTGTCTGCGCATAGATTTATGTCCTTTAGATTTAAGATTTGCAATCATGTATTTATATCTATGTATGTTTGGTGGTAAATAAACTATTATTATTATTGGTTTTGCGAATAATCTCGACCAATGACGTGCGAGAACGCTGTCGAGCTCGCCATGTCATTGGTTTTGCGAATAATCTCGACCAATGACGTGCGAGAACGCTGTCGAACTCGCCATGTCAGTGGTTTTGCGAATAATCTCGAGCAATGACGTGCGAGAACGCTGTCGAACTCGCCATGTCATTGGTTGTCTCTTATAATACAGGTTCCCCTAGTGTAAGAGACAGGGTTTTACAGTGTCTGCGCATAGATTTATGTCCTTTAGATTTAAGATTTGCAATCATGTATTTATATCTATGTATGTTTGGTGGTAAATAAACTATTATTATTATTGGTTTTGCGAATAATCTCGACCAATGACGTGCGAGAACGCTGTCGAGCTCGCCATGTCATTGGTTTTGCGAATAATCTCGACCAATGACGTGGGAGAATGCTGTCGAGCTCACTCCTAAAGTTAGAATTGACATCTTACAGAATGCCTAGCTGATGTTTATGATGTACTGACCGAAGCTTTGTGCTGGTATCCGTTGCAGTCCAAGTCGACGGCTGCGGGCTTCATGGACGGAGCGTCGGACGAACCTGTGACAAATAAACATCGTTATAGACAAAGTCACTAATATAATATTTCAACTGCCTCGTTAGTCGAGGTGTTCTCAAGTGCGACTGCCGGGCGATTCGGGTTCGATTCCCGGGTCAGGCAAAGTATTACTGGGTTTTTAAAAAATTCTCAGTAGTAGCAATGAGTAGAATTTTCCTTGGGATTACATGGGACTCATAACATAAATAGTGAAAAGTAGGTATTACATTGTACAGTGGCATTAAGTGCCGTAATGTGCACCTCTGCCTACCCCTTCGGGGACAAAAAAGACGTAATGTTATTTTACGATTCATATTTATCTTAATGCGCTGCTGACTTACATGGATCGTCCAGCTCAGTCCACTGGTCGTCTGAGTCGGAGTCGGCGCCTACGTCCGACGCGTCCGACACGACTTCCACCCGACGCACGCGCATACACACTGCGCGCCGAGCCGCTGCACTGCGTCGACGTGACATCTGGTGACGAAATAACGAACTCATGTTCAAAACTCCAATCATTCACATAACAAATTGAATGTTATCTCCACGGCGTAAGGCGCACATTGCTTCGGATATTTAAAAAGATGCGCGCGCAATATTGAGAGCGACGTGAATGAGGCCCAATTCCCTCCCCTCTTCCCCAAGCTCCCCAATCCCTGAATCTCCAACAGACCGGTAACGCCCTTAGTGTTCCAGGTGTCCCTGGGCAACGCCGATTGCTTACCATCAGGTGATCCGTCTGCTCGTTTACCGGCTTATTTCATAAAAAAATGTTTTTTCACTGAATTCTGTTACAATTTTTCAAGTTTTGATGTTTTTTGAGACAATATATCGAACCGAATCACATGGATGGTAAGTTACCAGCAGCTGTAGCCAAATGCCATTTAGCGCTTGTCTACTTGTAGAATAGAAAACCAAATTATATGGAATTGACGTAAACTTTGACACTTGTCAGTGTCATCCCCATACATTTAGTTTTCTACCCTCTCTGTAGACAAGCGCTAAAGTGGCGTTTGGCTAAAGGCACAGCTCGGCCAAAAACACTTGCAAGTTGCCGGTAACGCACTTGTAACGCCCCTGGTGTTACAGGTGTCCATGGGCGACGCCGATTGCTTACCATCAGGTGACATGTCTGCTCGTTTACCGGCTTATGCCACAAAAAAAGATTCTAACAAAATAAGAATTACTAGTGGGTTACAGGCACAGGTATTATGAATCCTTGTTTTAGTTTATACTTTCGAGTTTGTTGGTAATACCGTACAATAAATCCTTAATTCCTTACTATAATATTATATATCGGAAAGTGAGTTTGTTTGTTTGTTTGTTCCACTTTAGCGCCGTAAATACTAAACCGATTGCTTTGAATTTTTGCAGACGTGAAGTTAAATAATAGGGTACTTTTTATCCCGGAAAAATTTGATATTTTCGAGGGAAAACAAAATTATTGGTATAGATGGCGCTGTGTGTATTGGTATATGTCACATAGGCTACTTTTTATCCTTTTGTGACGCTAGCGAAGCTGTGGGTAAAAGCTAGTGTTTTATAATGCATTGGACCCTACCTCCTTCCCCTTAGCGATGGGCCGCCGCCTCGGTGCCCTCAGGGGTCTCGAGTTGCGCCTCGGACGACCCCCGCGACCCCCAGACCACGATGACGACGATGATCCACTGCGAGAACCACGGTGGCCCATCTGTGAACAACAAAATAATAAATTTATTATAACTATACAAAAAGTGTCGTGGTGGCCCGGAGGTTTAAGACGCCCACTTCTCATGTATGAGGGTGCGGGTTCGAAACCTACCAACGGCAAGTACCAATCTGACTTTTTCCGAGTTATATGTACTTTCTAAGATTATTTAGACACCACTGACAAACGGTGAAGGAAAAACATCGTGAGGAAACCTGGACTTATAATTTCTAATTATAAGTTTGAAATCGCCAACCCGCATTGAGCAAGCGTGGTGATTAATGCTCAAACCTTCTCCGTGTGAGAAGAGGCTTTGCTCAGCAGTGGGCATTTATAGGCTGTTGATGATGATGATGATGAACTATACAATTTAAACAAAATTTTCTTATATACTCCTGACTTTTGTAAGTGGCGCAGTGGTTAGGTAACCGAATAATTCTTTTTGAGGGGCGAAAGTCATTAACGTAAACCTAAGTCGTATTAAGGCCTCTGACATCTACCTACGTGTTTTACAACCAGTATATTTTGTAATATATAAGCACTAGCGGCCCGTCCCGGCTTCGCACGGGGGGACTTAAGATTTTTTACATAGTTTTACGTTTTATTTATATTTATTCTCAGTTTTTTTTTAGCGACCTGCCCGCCGTTGTCGATGTCGCGTCTTAAGGTAACCGATTGAACAATTCAAAAGTTATCTAGAGCAAACTTTTATAAGGATTGAACCATTCATTAAAACGATTGTTATGGGTAAACTATAAAAGGTAGACATATGCTCTCGCGGACTTTTTTAAAAATAATGTTAAGATAAACAATTCATCTATAGAACATTTTTGTATAACTTTAACTATATGCTCAGCGCACGCCACGGAAGGCCTCAGAAACGATACTTTTCCCCCGTTTTTAAAACATTTTTGGTTACTGCTCCACAACTATAGGACCTAGCGTGATATTATATAGCCTATGTTACTTCTGAATAATGCAGCTTTCGAATGGTGAAAAAATTATTGCAATCGGTTCAGTAGTTTTTGAGTTTATTCATTACAAACATACAAAAATACAAATCTTTCCTCTTTATAATATTATATATATATATATATATTATATATATTATATATTAGTATAGATAATGTTTACAAATAAAAAAAATATTGTAAATTATGATTTTAAAATATTTTATATTCCCTTACTTATATTCTAAATCGGAAAGTGAGTTTGTTTGTTTGTTCCGCCTTCACGCCGTAACTACTAAACCGATTGCTTTAAATTTTTGCAGACGTAAAGTTAGAAGTCCGGATTAAATAATAGGGTACTTTTTAACCCGGAAAAAATTGATATTCCCGAGGAAAAACAAAAGTATTGGTATAGATGGCGGTGTGTGCATTGGTATATGTCACATAGGCTACATTTTATTCTTTTGTGACGCGAAGCCGCGGGTAAAAGCTAGTATTTTATAATTCAGAAAAAAAAAATTATGGTTGTATAAAATTTCAAATGATTGGATGTACACGATGGAAGTTAAACGGTTCCTTTTCAAATATTTTTTTTAGTTTTGCAGTTTTCTAGACTAGAGGCTTATATTCATGAGCAGCATTCTGCGACCCGCGACGCGGCGATAAACAACAAAATAACAAAAATCACAACCTGTCGAAGAATGTATATTCAACTCTAATCAAAAAAATCAAGCTTACTACACACTGACAAATTATCTTGAAGATAAAAATGCTTGGCAGCATGTTGGTTGGGCTTTTTTTTAAGGGGGTAAATCATCGAATGACTGCTCCCGCCTGGGTGAGGCGGAAGGGAGTGTCAGACTCTTACTGACTAAAAACCACCCCGTTCCTTCTCCTGCACGTCGAGCCGGAGCCCCGGTTACCCGTTAGGTTCTCCGCGACATGTTGATTGGGCTGCACTGGACAATACTCAAATGTAGTCAGTACTTAGATTCCAATAGTAGGTAATTTAATAATTTCATTCTAATGTAGACAATCTAGTTTCCTTATGGCATCGAGCATTTCTTTCTTTATTGAAACAAAGAGTTTCCTTTTTCTTGTATAGAAGCACTATTTTTATGGATTGTCAGTATGCATATTTATTTATTTATACTTTATTGCACACACAGAAAAAAATTGTAAACATTGCATATGTGAGCACCATGTTAGACTATAAGATTTTTTTTATTTTAGTAAGGTTTGTAATTAGTACCTATAATGCGTCAAGCGTGGCTTTGCATTGTTCTCACATATGTGTACAGTATTGGAATATGTATCAGAGACATTGTAGAACATACTTTTTTAAAAAGAGTAACGAATGGAGTTTCTTGCTCGTTCTTCTCCATTCGAATCTACATTTTGGAATGAGCAATTAGCTTCACTGACGGAATGACTGACAGACTATTATTTATTTTGTATTTGTTGATGTTTCAAAAGTACAAAATTATGGTTTAATTGAAGTAAATGCGTTGACTTTAAACTTCTGCATACCCTTTCGGCAAATAAAAGGCGCGATTTTAAACAAATAACACACAAGGTTGAAGAAGAACAGATGTGGATCTGACCTTCCCTATTCACCTCAAAATGCATAATGCATCGGATGATTCAATAGTCAAGCTAAAAATATATTTCAAACGAAGAAAACATAATAATTGCTACAAAAAAAAGTAGTGGTAAAAAATCGTAGGAGACACATACATAACATCACGCCTTTTATTCCCGAAGGGATAGGCAGAGGTGCACATTACGGCACTTAATGCCACTGTACAATGTAACACCCACTTTTCACTATTTATGTTATGACTATGAGTCTCATGTCATAGGGGTGAGCCTATTGCCGTGTACCAGATGTGTTACAATTGGGTCACATGGCATTCCATTGTCTCTTTTTACAAATGCAATCGACTGCACGTTTAACGCGGTGGCTGGGCAACCGACTACCGCGCAACACGTAGCGGGTTCAATTCCCGCACGAAGCAACTCTTCGTGTGATCTCTCTAATTGTTGTTTCGAGTTGGGGGGCTCATCATGTATGTGAACTTGTATGTTTGTAAACGCACCCACGACACAGTAGAAACTACTAGTGTGAGGCAACCTTTTTAACCTTTCCTGCGTCTAAACGTGGATTCACGCGGGACACAATGTATTTTCTATAGTGTCTCATATAGGTGCATTTAAGTGGTTAAAAAATGTTTCTTTTAGAATCAAAATTATCATCATCATTAACAGTTCTCGTCCACTGCTGGACATAGGTCTCCATAATGACGCATCCTTTTTTATTTATGAGATAAGCCAGCAAACGAACTGACGAATCACCTGATGGTAAGCAATCGGCGTCGCCCATGGACACACGGAAAACCAGAGGCGTTAGAATTGCGTTACAGGCCTTTTGGGGATTAGGAGTTTGAGTATTGTTGGGGATTCAGGGATTGGGGATATTGGGGAAGCGTGTAATTAAGGCTCCGGTAAGCTCACTCACACAACGCAAGCGTTGTTTCACGTCGGTTTTCTGCTCGACCGTGGTACCACTCTGGTCGAGCCGGCCCATTCGTGCCGAAGCATGGCTCTCCCACACTTAAGTTGTGTATTCACCATGCTGTATTTAGCATTGAATAACCTTCCGCCAAAAGGTGATTGAACGACAAATCCTTAAATACTTATCTATACTAAGTAATTCAATAAAGATAAACAGTATTTTGTTTATTTTATTTTTATGAAGATGTGCCTGATAGTCATACGATTGGGGAAGTTAATAGGCTGTCTAACAAGGCTCTATGATACTTAGACACACACATATCACGCCTTTTACGTAGGCAGAGGTGGCATTACGGCAATTAATACCACTGTACAATGTAACACCCACTTTTCACTATTTATGTTACCGAGTCCCATGTAATAGGGGGTGAGGTTATTGCCATATACCGGGCACAATTCCAGACTCCGTGCTACTTTTGAAAATTTTTCAAAAACCCAGTAATACTTTGACCAACCTGAGACCCTTGCCCGGCAGTCGCTCTTGCGACCACTCGGCCAACAAGGCCTATACTTAGGCACTATAAGGATAAAAGAAAATTTAACACTTTTAAAAGGAGGTTAAATGCAGCTGCATTTATAGTCATGTAAACTAAACATTATTTTGAAAAATCTCAGTAGTAACACGGAGCCTGGAACTGTGCCCGGTATAAGGCAATAGGCTCACCCCCTATTACATGGGACTCATAACATAAATAGTGAAAGAGTGGTGTTTTTCAAGGGGGAAAATCATCGAATGACTTCTCCCGCCTGGGTTAGGCGGGAGGGAGTGTCAGATTCTTACTGACTAAAAACCACCCCGTTCCTATTCCTACGCTTCGAGCCGGAGCCCCGGTGACCCGTTAGGTTCTGCGCGACTCCGAAAAGTGGGGGTTACATTGTACAGTGGCATTAAGTGCCGTAACGTACATTTCTGCGTACCCCTTCGGGGATAAAAAGGCATGATGTTATGTAAACTAAACAGATAAAAAAAATAACTATCGTGAGACATGCAGAATTAAACATAACGAGTTACTCACGTAAAAGAGAGAGAAGCTCTACTATAGTCAGAATTTTAATTAGGTTCCAGATTTGACAATAGCTACTGTCATTTTGTGAAATAATGATACCACATATAATAGTGTAGTGATGTACACAAAAATCGATAAACAATCAGTATGTGTGTTTGATAATAAATGTTACAGAAAGTGACAGGATAGCGATTGCGATGACGGCGACAATTTATAAAATAACTTATTACCATAATACATCTATCTGTTTTATTTGTCATGTTCCTTCATGATTACATTTTTTTATTTATTTCACACACAATTATAAAAGAAAAGTCTCAGATAGTTAATTAATCGTCAAAACTAAATTATCGGTTCAGAAATATTTAATTTCCTGATATACTTAGTTTACGAGAGTAAAATTATAAACGAGAAGAATCGATCCAGAAATGTTGCATTTTCATATCGAATAATTTCGCAACGTCACTATTTAGTACTTGTCATAACGTTGCAACACTGAAATTGTCAAATCTGGAATCGAATTAAAATTCCGAGTATAATTACTAGTCACAGAGGGACAGCTGTCCAAAGGAGGAGAGGCCTTTGGTCAGCAGTGGCCACTTATAGACTGTTGATGATGATGATGATTTTTAATTATAACATTATCGATGAAACCAATAAGAATCTGGTAACAGTAACTGATAGCACTTTTCACCACTAATAAAAATCTTAATCTATTCTGCCATTAATCTGAGAAGAAAGATCAAAATAATTGTTTCATAAACTACATTTAATCTGTCAAACACCAAGCGGTCACCGGTGACCGCGACCTATTGTTCTTTAATTGTGTCTATAAAACCGGTACTCGATGAGTTAAAAAACCAATATCAATCCCCTCATTTGTCGAAGTCAGTTAATTAATATACCCACTAAAACTTTCTAATTATAAACAAACACTTTTCTGAAAATGGCATCAAATAATTGGTTCAGGTAATCCCAAGATGATTGCACACAAACATAGGAACATACATACATACAGGTGAAACTTAAAACCTCCTTTCTTTTTTGAAATCAGGAGAAACTGAAAACCTCCATTCTCTTTTGAAGTCAGTTAACCAACTCAGAGGGCATAATATTCTTTGAAATGCAGAGTACAGACTGAATGCAATGAAAGAAATATGGTGTTTTGAAGAACCTGTCCTGATTGTATGCACCTGTGTGTGCCAATGTCTCTTTTTTTAATGGGGAAAATCATCGAATTACTTCTTCCGCCTAGGTGAGGCGGGAAAGAGTGTCACTGGTACTGACTAAAAACCACCCCATTCCTTCTATTGCACTTCGAGCCGGAGCCCCGGCAACCCGTTTGGTTCTCTGCGACTCCGAATCGACATCAGCCCTATTGGGCCCCATCAGTGGTGGTCTGATGGCTCGTTGAGGCGCGCGTAGAACGCGACGTGCCGTACGCTCGGGTGTGCCAGTGTCTAGTCAGCTCAAATTAAAGTACAACATGCTTTTCATTTAGCACAAGACGGACATTAAAATAAAATTTAGGATACTACCTATTCAGGATCGATTAAAATAAATAATATGAGTTTGAAAGGACTCACAGATTGATAACTTTCGAGTGCCCATAGGGTATAAAATCAGGAATCACAACCCTTGTTGATGTGATGTAATAAGATAAAACAATTTGTTTATGACTTTGAATGAAGTGTAGTCAGTAAACAGAAATTCTATAGTTATTGTAGTTTATAAATCTATCCTAAAACCAAACACAACATAACATAACATCACGCCTTTTATCCTCGAAGGGGTAGGCAGAGGTGCACATTATACCGCTGTACAATGTAACACCCACTTTTTACTATTTATGTTATGAGTCCCATATAATTCAAACTGCCCACATCCAATTATGGGGAACAGCAAGTAATAGCAATATTGACATACTCGAAAGATTCCATACCAAAACACTGAGGGCAATACCAAATATTCTACAATATATTGCAAATAAATATACCTATACAATGATAAAGATTAACACAGTCAGACAAGAAATTACCGTTATCAGCATCAAATACCAGAAGAGAAACGAGCTGGCCCTGGACCTTGGTGGTGACAGCAGCATTAAGTATAATAGACTTAAGAGACAAGGTGTTGCTACTCTTCCTGAGAGATTTGCCTGCCAAGAGTAACCAGCTAGATCTGGACTCTTCAACTACCCAATAAATCAGAGATACAGTGTATCAGACAAAAAGATGGCTTATTGTTGAATAACAGATTGCCATAGAAGCAGAAGAAAGTTATTATGTATTTATGGTCAAGTAAACTGGTTAAGTCATGTCCATTACATGTGGGAATTCAAACCTAGGCTAGGTATATATGATACCTAGCCTAGCTTTGAATTTACTGAGGTTCTGTACCTACGCATGTTCAAAAATAGCATAGTAACAACTGAATACTGAAAAGCTACTCAATTTTATGTTGTACCTACGTAAATATCGTGCCATCTCTGTCATTTATTACAAAGAATTTGTAGAGACAGAACTATACTTCAAAGTGACTTCAAATTGAGTAACCATTCAGTATTCAGATGTACCTAATAGGTGTTCTACATATTGAGCATGGTCAAAAATCATACACCTGTCGACTTGTAAACATGCCAGGATGCTTACTCTTGAAACCAATCTCAATGTCAATGCAATTTCAATCCAATAAATTCTCAATAGTTTTCCAATGTCAAAACTATACAACCCCTATCGTAGCTGTTACAGTAGCATTCAGAGTACGGAATATAAAGCTTAACTCAATACCATTTAATTCATCAAATATCCATGCAATATGAACACAATGGGCACTAGTGTTGCAACTCAAAAGTACAAAATTTCACAATACTGATGATCAACATGAATAGGATTCAAGAGTAAGCCCCCTGAAATGAGCATGCTAATTTTAAGCAACATTCTGACACACATGCTACTAAGTGGTGAGGGCTCAATTGAAGCATGCTTCCACGCTTGAAATTAGCATGTGTACCAGAACCTTAATAGAATTTCATCATCATCGTCATCAACAGCCTATAAATGCTCACTGTTGACCAAAGGCTCTTCTCACACAGAAGTTTGAGCATTAGTCACCACGCTTGCTCAATGCGGGTTGGCGATTAATTCAAACTTATAATTTGAAATTATAAGTCTAGGTTTCCTCACGATGTTTATCCTTCACTGTTTGTCAGTGGTGTCTAAATAATATTAGATTTTATTTTATTTGAAAATGTACATATATAACACCACAGCTTACGCCATTAAGTTATACTGTTAATCTTATATAAATGCTATCTTATTAATCTTAGATAGTACATATAATTCAGAAAAAGTCACATTGGTACTCGCAGTTGGTAGGTTTCGAACCTGCACCCTCATGCATGAGAAGCGGGCGTCTTAAACCTCCTGGCCACCACGAATTTCATAATGCACCAATCAAATGTTTAAAAAATGTTAAATTAACTTTTCAAATGTTGATTTTCTCCTAATTGGATGAAGTCGGGAAATAGTAAGGATCTGTATGGGATAAAGTTGTCATAGCCGGATACATCTATCTACCCCTTAGTAGTATACCAAGTATGATGATATATGAACTTTGGTTTATTTGTATACAGAATAAAGTGATAAAAATACTAAATAATATGTTTATCCTAATAACAGTGTATTTGTTTATATTTCAAATTCTAATCAGAATCTGAGGTTTCTTAATTGCATTCTAGTTATCAAAAATAAATACATGAGACTTGCGAGTGAAGATGTAGACACAGTTACAGAAACTACCAAACACTACCATTCTTGCATTTAATGGAACATTTCATTCAAATTAATATTTTACGAAAGCTAACTCCATGTATGCAGAGTAACATGATTAGGTAATATTATAACAAATGAGAATTTTACAATAAGAATAACTGAAAAATTGTACTAAACTAATAACCAGGTACCAGGGAAACAGGTTTTGAAGGAGTTGACACAAACCAATCAATAAAGGTAACAATCTCAATGTGGGATTGTCACAAAATATACACAAAACACACTATACATATTGGCGAATCTAAGTTCATTGACACTTGGGCACAGACATTGGGTTTGTCAAGCTAATACACGAGCGAGTACTCGAGAGCAGCCATATTGGTACTCACGGCTATTTCGAAGAGTGACGGGAAATCCTGCTGCGGCTCCCCATCAGCTAAGCCTGCCAGCAGACCAAGCTCCGCGCTCAAATCTGCAAGCTCTGCTCCGATGCGATCCGCGCGATCAGCGTCACCCAGCTCATCCTTCAGGATGTCTCCGATCTCGTCCGAGACCGCGGCCACGGCTGAAGCGACCTCATCAGAAGGCACTCCCTCTTTACCCAAACCCTCGCCACCGCCGGCGAATAAATCGGCACCTTCACTACCACCTTTACCACTACGGCCCAAACATTTCTCCATTGAAAACATCATTTAAGAACCGAATAACACAACTCATACGACAAACGTAACATCTAAAGTCACCGCAGGTCCTTTTAGATCACTCGAAAACAGATAACTCGGTAATTAAAAGACTTGAAACCATTTTTTCATCGGCACCGATATATCCCGAAGTTTTTGACAATACCAATATGGCGACGATATTTTTAGGTATTTTGTGACCAGTTGCAAGCGGATAACGTGACAATATTTCGTATGGCAATTTTGGTTTTAGGCCTATTTTGCGTTTTGCATTCTCATTTGATATGAAAATGTACATATTAATTTTCTTTTCTACGACTGTATTTTGTTTTCTAAGCTATTCCTTAATTTTATATAAATGTTCTCTGTTTTGTTACATTTGTATCTCATAATGATCCTTTTAAATCCACCATATAACCGTAAATTGTTTAAATAATAGCTGCAATTACTTGTTATTATCAGAAGTCGAAACTAATAATATTTTTGATACTTTAATGTGACAAAAGGTAACAAACGGAGTACGTCGACATAATTCGAAAAAAAAATATATATACAAAATATCCTTTCTCTACCAAATACCAGTCTGTGCAAAGATCAAGGTTATACACAACGCGTGGTGATGCGATCATAATACAATAATGGATCGTCATATACATAGTCAAATTGAGTTGAATTTAAATTGCATATTAAGGTCCAGAGCACATGGGTGTAAAAATACCTACTCAGAAACTTTGAAAGTCTTAACTCATTTTTAATCACTTAGGCACTGCGTACTGGAAAATGTTTTTATTCAGTTATAGTCATTAGAGATTAAAAGTAATGCGTGCTAATAATTGCTAGTTTGCTTTTTGATTATAAACAAAGTAGTTAAAAACTACTGGCGGTTATTCCCGTTTAATTAAGAGTTGTCAGAAAACAAAAATATAACCGGGGTGTTCTAACGATTTAGCAAACAATAATATTCTCAGAAATCAATACTATATCTCGAGAAAATAACATATTTTTTAATTTCTTTCCTGAATCAGCACTATTTATACTATAATAGTTAGTTACATGTGGTTACAATAATGCAACATAAACCAAATATGAACATTTAAACATGTGAGATGTTTTTTTTTGTTACTGTGATTGTGAAATAAATAAAAACATAACTGTAAAAGGTGCAAACAATCATATGATTAAAAAAAAGTCCTAAATTGATAATAATGTGGTAACTATCTGGATTATTCCGTACAAATCTGTTTGTTCTAATCGAGGCTTATTTTCAAGTGTATAATAGTGTATTGTGGCGACGCATGCCACATGTCAACGGATGACGTCACAAGAATCCTACATCGCACATGCAAAGTTTACAAGCGATTTAACACGGATAGAAAATCCCAACGAGCAACTGTTGGGCAGAAAGCCCGCCAGGCACGATCACCTCGCCTGGTCGGAGGATCCTCCTTTTCCGATCTTAGGGAACTATACTCTCTGTTTCCTAAAGTGGTGACCCCGACGTGATTGGAAACAACCTTCACTTCACGGAGCAGATTAGCACCGTCATCCGTATCGTCATCCCTCTCATTCATCACTTCTCCGCTGAGCGGTAACCAAGTCGCAGCCAACCAGCATCCTCGGCCTCATCAGGGACCACCATTACCTGCAACGAAGTTGTGCAGCCTGGTTCTTCCCTACGGCCTCACCAGCGTCTAGGCACAGCACTTCTGCACACGGTCTGAAGGACACCTCCTCCGTCACGCAGATGCCGGCCACTACGCACCTACCCTCGCAGCATCTCTTCCCCGACTCACCGTGGGACACTGCGAACTCATCTCTCCGACTCACTGGAGTTTCACCCTGCACCGCTGACCCGACTCACTGGGCACTCAGCGGCACGGTTCCGACCCACTGGAACTAGGGACGTTCTACACTGGCTCTGGCACCGCTCATCTCAAGCATCGACAGCAGTCTCAGCGGAATCGACCTCCGGTCTTGGGAGGGAGTGGTGTGGCGACGCATGCCACATGTCAACGGATGACGTCACAAGAATCCTACATCGCACATGCAAAGTTTACAAGCGATTTAACACGGATAGAAAATCCCAACGAGCAACTGTTGGGCAGAAAGCCCGCCAGGCACGATCACCTCGCCTGGTCGGAGGATCCTCCTTTTCCGATCTTAGGGAACTATACTCTCTGTTTCCTAAAGTATAATTATTAGATATAATTATTTCATGCACAACCAAGGACTCTGCAAAACATGCTTTTTTCAACGTCCTTGTTTGCATTGTCATAACAAGGACGTTGCCATTGAAAGATTTGGTAAAGAAATGTGGAAATATAGAAAGACTTGATATCAAAGAGGCACCGAAATTAAAAAGTGTAAACATTTGACAGTCCAGCAAACATTTGACTTTGACAGAATGAGGCAAATAGGTTATTTGACACAAGCCGATTCTGCGCGAAACGCTAGCAAAGTTATTTTCGAACCTATATTTATAAATTGTATATGAAAAATTACATTGCAGGTAAAATGCCGCATTGCGATGCACGCTGTAATAGACACGCGATTTTTCTAATATAAACAACACGGTTTATTAATTAAATTAAACTAATGATCAGCTGAGCGAAGTTTTCGGTTTTAATTTTTTTTTATAAATCCTATAATTAGTCTATTATATAGGTCGTAAGTGATAACCGGAAGTAGTTGGTGTTCTATATAGTTTTAAAATTAATAATGGCGGTTCAAAATAAAGTTTTGTACGCGTTTCGTGGATGGATAGCTTTTGTGGCTTTTATGGATCTTGGGACGACTGGACGGTCCTATATTGAAAGGAGGTCGTTTCTAAGCAACGCCGGCGATGAACACCTAGACGGTAATTATTTATTTACTGCTTTAGTATTTATAACGTATCTATAACTTGACTGCCTCGTTGGCCGAGTGGTCGTAAGTGCGACTGCCGGGCAAGTGGTCTCGGGTTCGATTCCCGGGTCGGGCAAAGTATTACTGGGTTTTTAAAAATCTCAGTAGTAACACAGTCTGGAAATGTGCCCAGTATATGGAAATAGGCTGACCCCTATTACATGGGACTCATAACATAAATAGTGAAAAGTGGGTGATACTTTTGTGTGCACCTCTGCCTACCCCTTTGGGGTTAAAAAGGCGTGATATTATGTTATTTATGACTTAGTTGCCTTTTGGTTTAGTAATAGAAGTATGAATTAAAAGTTCATACTTGAAATAAAAGTGATCTGCAGGGTTTAAATAATGCATTGCCTTATGTAGAAACCACCAGATGGTATTAATTATCCAATAGGAGCTCTCTATGCCAATAATGAGTCGCAGACCAAGGGGCTTACTCTTGAATCTAATTCCGATCGATCGACATTGGCATTGTGAAATTTCGTACTCTTGAGTTGCAACACTAGCGCCCATTGCATTTGTATTGTGTGGATATTGAATGAACTAAATGGTATTGAGTTTGTCTTTATATTCCGTATTCTAAATGCTACTTTAACAGCTACGGTTGTGGTTGTATAGTTTTGACATTGGATAATTATTGAGATTTTATTGGACGAAATTGCATTGATATTGAGATTGGTTTCAAGAGTAAGCATCCAAGGCAGAGCACAACTGAGCAGAAAACCCACATAAAACAACACTTGCATTGTGTTCCGTCATGTGAATTATGTTTATAGATGTCCAATTACCTCTCCTTAATCGCCGAATACCCAATAATCCTCAAAAATTCCTAATCTCCAAAAGGCTGAAACCGCACTTGTAACTTTCGACTGTCCATCGGCGACGCCGATTGCTTACCATCAGGTGATCTGTCTGCTTGTTTACAGGCTTGTTTTTTTAGTTTCTTTGTTTGTTTGAACGCGCTAATCTCCGTAACTACACGTCCGATTTGTATAATTCTTTTTGTGTTCGATAGTGCATTTATCGAGGATGGCTATAGGCCATAACGCTACGACGAATAGGAGCTGAGCAGAGCGTGTGAAACCGCGCGGAAGTAGCTAGTTATTAACACGTTAAACGCCATGGGGGTCATCGGTGACCGGCGTTAGCGGAGGATTTGCCTTCAACAGTTTTTTATTGGCAGTCAAAGTCTTAATAAAGATTCTTTTATCTTTTTCAGGAGATTTTACAATATCACGGATGCTGGGCATGTACTCGTTACTCAAGGCTTTAGCTCTGATTCACTGTACTCTGTACATACATTATAGGCCGTGAGTATTATTTAACTAATTTTTGCATTTTATAGTAAAAAATAATCTAACTAACTCGCCTGCCTCGTTGGCAGAGTGGTTGTAGGTGCGACTGCCGGGCAAGGGGTCTTGGGTACCTCTCCTTGTCGGACAAAGTATTACTATGAATTATACTTAATATATTAAGTATACTATCAAGTTTAACACGTTAAACGCCATGGGGGTCACCGGTGGCCGGCGTTAGCGGAGAATTTACCTTCAACAATTTTTATTGGCAGTCAAAGTCTTAAAATATAAATACTGGGGTTTTTCAAAAATTCTCAGTAGCACGGAGTCTGGAATTGTGCCCGGTTATGGCAATAGGCTCACCCCCTATTACATGGGACTCATAACATACTATTGTCTATTCAAATTAAAAAAACATGTATAAAAATAAATAAACAAAATATATCTTTTTAATTCCCCTTTTCCAGTGTGGTGTCCTTGGGCTACTGGTCGTTGACACTGACCATCATTTTATACTTCTCCGAAGCATTCTACTTCCACTCCACAGATCTGAACTTCTATGTTGTGTTTCCTTGTGTTCTGAACAGTAAGTAATTTAAAATATATATTTTCTAATTATCTTTTACTAAACGGAAAATATGACTGACCGAGTGGTCACAAGTGAGACTGCCAGGCAAGGAATCTCGGGTTCGATTCCCGGGTCGGGCAAAGTATTAATGGGTTTTTACAAAAAATCTCACGTAGTCTGGAATTGTGCGCGGTATATGGCAATAAGCTCACCATCTATTACATGAGACTCATAGCATAATTGGGTGCTTTACTAAATCAAAAATAAATTATTTCGACTGTTCAATACAATAAAATATTAAAAAATAATCACAATTTCATATATTGGTTTTTAGACCGACTTAATTTTAGTATTTTTCCAGCAAGTTTTTAAGAAATAGTATGCTGGTTGACACTAAAAAAACGTGATGTCACAATACACAATCTCGTACAAAATTCATAGAAAACTGTCGTTGTTGACAGTTCGAAAAAAGTATTGAATTTGACTAGTTGGCAAGTACACATTTGGTGGAAAGTTGGAGTTAGGTCATAATGTAC